GTACAGCGTTGTTCAGCAGAGCGAGGGAAACTATGTTCAACATTTCATGTGATCGGACCCAATCACCTTACCGTTCCACCGCCTTCCTTCCCATCGTGGCAATTGAGTCTAACTGAAAACCCAAGTTCGAAGTGTGTGTCCATGCGTGCCACAGAATCCCCCCCGAGCTCAGCTACGCAACTTGACCACGAAGCGTTGGTCAGGAAGCACACGTGCATAGCTGGGGCTCACCCCATCACCTGCGAGTGCTGCGCTTGACCGGACTCGCTTGCGGTCGGACCGGACCTGTGCAGCGGAAGGGGGGGGCAGGTGCACTGGGACCGTGTGGCCGTTGTAGTTGAAACACTCCACCGACACACGGCAAAAAAGCAAAGAGCGAGGTCAGAAAGCACTACTATGACGACGCACGGTGGGGTGAGATGTATCGCATGGGTAAGCCAATGCGAGCGTACTATATGCATGTTTCATTGGTCCAGGTGGTGGCCGACCTAATCCGGGCAAGGGCGTGCAATCTTATCCCACATCTTATGTTTTTTGCACATGCTGATTAAAGATATTGCATTGATGAAATTACTGCAAGTGTTATTTAGCCAAAGGAAATCCCACAGGGGGTTTAACTCAGGAGTTTTGGCCGGGCAATCGTTGTGATGAGGGGGATTGCTATTGGATGCTATTGGCTTCTGTGATGTATGTGATGATGGTGCCTTCTGGGGCCCATCGCTGTGGCCGTCGCTGCGGCCCGACGATTGGCGATACGCTGCGATCGAAAGCCGCTGGCAAACACCCAGCCGTATCGTTTCTGCTTGATCACGTGGGTCAAGAGGGAGGTTACGGAGCCAGCACCTGAGGGTCGGGTTGGAGGTTCCGCTGGTGCAACAGGCTCCTCCATGGAGGCCTCAAATCAATTTCAGCCGTTTCAGCGCTGTTGACCTCCCTCACTTGGAATCCCATACAGTGAGTTCTGCGCTCACGAGTCCGGGCAATTGAGGCAGGGAGTGGTGGTAAAACCCACGTCTGGATGCATCTGTGGCACAAGAGTCATCTCGGTCGCAAATGTAGGTCACCTTGGCTCTAACTAAACCAACATCGACCCCTCTTCCAGGAGACGCTCCCAAGACAATAATTTGGATGAAACAGCCCTTGGATGTGGGGGCCTCCATGGGTCTCCATAAATCACAGTTTGCGGATATCCCTTGATTGGTGACATGCACTGACTTCCTCACTTCAGGTGGAACACCTTCACATCTTGTTCCACATGGTTCCACCCATCGGTGGGTCCCATGTGGCCAGGTCACCCACATGTAGAGGCGCCCAAAGCTCTGTACAAAGTGCTCCACTTCGGCACAAGGTGCGGTTGAGCAATAGCACCTTGGGAGCACCACCCGCAAGCGAAGGCACGAGCACTGTGGTGGTTTCGCATTGGTGGTTGGGTGGGTGGAACTCAAAGCATCTCAGAAGTCTACCAAATCACGAGGGGTCATGTCAGGATTTGTCTCACACGTTATTTTGGAGCGTCTACTGTGGACAAACCAATGCAACAGACCTAGGTGGTCAAGGAGCATTGGCATTGCCCAATGCAAGAGAAATATCTGCTACTTCCATGTTTGGAGCAACTCCATCTGGAAAATACCGTGCGCCGATCGTGTCACTTGCTTGGACTCAGTTTGGCAAAGGCACAATGGCACGGTAAATGCCATCGAGACGTCAGCGCGCACTGGAGGCATCACAGGGGAGGCCGCCTGATGGGGCCGGCAACATGACCCCCCTAATTACCATAAAGGATTCCAAAATGATGCCAGAGGTGCAGACTGAGGCTAGTAGTGTAGACTTTTTCATGACTTTATTCATTGACACAAACCGATACAAACCCCGCATTTGGATCAAAACCTCTTCATATGGGAGGTGGAATGAAATAAAATCAAGTCTCTCTACATTAGATCTAATCTAACTGATCGAGCCTTGATCAAGCATCCGGAGATTGGGTCTGGGAGTCCGATCCAGCAAAAGCCTACCTTTGCTGATGGGTCGATGTCTGCCTGTCTCTTCTCCTTTCACCACATCCCTTAAGCCCTTGTCTGTGTCTCTCTCTCTCTCTCTCCCTCTCTCTCTCTCTCTCTCTCTGTCTCTCTGTCCTCTCCCTCTCTCTCTCTCTCTCTCTTCAGAGTCGAGCTGTCTACGCTGGAAACAGATTCAACGCGCGGACTTTCCGGACGGTGTGGCATGTCGCCTGAAGATCGACAACCGAGACATTGGTGTCGAAGAAGTCGCTGGGGACCCCCCCACAGAAGCTCCTCAGAAGGAGAGGTCGGCGGATCCAGGGAGGACGGGAGGTCCGGGCTGAAACAACATGGAGCATAACATAGTATAACATGACACACCTCTCCTGGTTCTCAATGGATTTGAAAAAGGGAAATTGATAAGTGTTGTGTAATGATCATGATTGCGAGCCATCAAGGTTCCGGCACAAGAACCTCCATGAATCCACAAAAGATTTGCCCCCGAATTCCCTGGCGACCTATCTGTGCACCAATCTTCTTGCCGGGCTTGCGCAAGCCCGGCAAGGATCAGCAGCGGCAGTGCCTTGTGGGGACCCCCCAAAGAACGAATTGTTCTTGTTCTCACCGGGGACCTGGATTCTCTGAGTGTGACGTTGCCAAGCTGCAGCATATGTCTCACAATTTCATGGAATTGCTCCAGCAATCTCCAGCATATGTCAACATATTTGTTCCATATTGTTCTACTCTTCTACTCTATGTTAGGTCCGGCTACTTGACCGGCAATTCTGTGAGTCGTGTTTCCCCGGTCGCCCACTTTACGCGCCCGGGCGTCGGCGTCTCCGCCACCCGCGCGCCGTTCTGCAGCAGATCCGCCCCGAAGAGCGGGCCCCACGTGGCCGCGGCGGCGGACGCGGCCGTGGGACCATGGAGCTGCCAGGTGGGTCGTGCCTGGAGGTCTAAGATGCAGCTGGAAGCCGCGCGACTGGTGGTCCCCAGAGAGAAGAAGCAGTCCTCAGGGAGCGACCCGACTCTGCGCAGAAAACAGATGAAAAACAAAGAAACACATTGAACCGAGGAACGACCATCAGAAGTGTTACTTCACTTGTCACTTGGGTGGACCAATTGCACGAAATCAATGGGCGGCATGTACCCCCCACACAGTTGGTTCGATTAGCAGTAGCAGTTGAGTTCAACATGCCTGAGACCCCAGATTGACTGTACCTATCTAGCTAGCGCTCAAACACCCCCATCAAAGGTGGAATCTAGAGATGTTGAAAGGCTCAGGCTTACCACGCACAAGACGAAGAAGAAGAAGAAGAAGAAGGATGGCCATCGCGTGCTTCTTCTTCTTCTTCTCCTCCTCCTCCTCCTCCTTCCTTTTCTTCTTCCTCTTCTTCTTCTGATCCAAGTAGGGCCTGGGTGAGGAAAGCTGGCAGGTCTGTAAATCCTGTGGACATCCCCCTCACCTGCCTCACCCGATTGGGATGGCCACAGCACCGCTTCTTCCCCCACCTCTCGCCACCCTCCGCCAGCCCAGGCTCCCAGCGCTCCAGCTCCAAACAGCCCTCCGTCTGGCAGGCACTGGAGACGCCAATCACCCAGAGGTCCACGAAGAGAACGCTACTCCTGGAGCTCCGCGAGCGCTGAGCTCGAGCGACCCCCCCCCCCGTCCGCCGGAGATGCCTTACGGGTTGGAATGCCGCCATTGACAATGCCCTACCAAAGAGTTTGCAACCCAAGGGGTTCCACAGATTTCTCCCTCTCTCTCTCCATTGTCAAGCTGCAAATCGGTACCAACTGAGTCCGTGGGCAAGAGGCCATGTCAACGCTTCTGCTGTTCCACGCTGTTTTGTTCTCTGCTTCTGGGCAGCTAAGTAGGAGGAAAAATGCTGGCTAGGTCACAAAAAAGCTTGATGATTTCTGCTTCCACAAGTCCCATTCGGCTCCTGGCACCCGTTGCCCCCGCAAAAGGGTTGCAGCTCCCAAAGCTTCGCGCCGAAGGAGCTGGGTGGAGCCAATCAGTGGGGTCTTTGAAGGTTTTGAAGTCCGATGATGTCGCAAGGGGAGTCGTTTTGTTTTGAGATGTGGGTGTGTCAGCATGTGGTGGCGCAATAGAAACCACTAGAAAGGAACATATACACGACTCACTAACATGGAAGTGGAGCCCACCCCCTGTTTGTAAAGGAAAGTCGTCTTCCAAGGGACCATACCATCCCCTTCCATGTTTGGTGAGTCACAGGGTAGATCAAAACCTTGAAAACCGTGGCGTCTCACAGTCGCGGGTTGGTCTCGTGCCACTTCAAATGCCGGACTTTCTCCGCGGGGGCTGCGCTGGATGCCCTACCCCACGTTTGACAAACATTGCACCAGCACTTGGTTTCCGACCACAGCCCTCCTTTTGCGTCGCATGGGATGGACCTGACAGCCTTTCCGTCACTGCTCCGACTCCAAGAAGTTTCAAAGTATTTGTTGCCACAGCTGTGGTGGATCCTTGGGAGTTTGTCTTGGATCCACGGTGGATCCTTGGGAGCCAACTGCACGCAGACGGACCCTCCTACCGCATTTCAGGCTGCTGCCGCGGCAGGTCGTGCGTCGGCCACGCCAACCCCCAGCTTCACCCACCCCCACCGGGCGAAATGTCACTGGCCAAGAGGCTGCAAATCTCCCCGGAACGACTGCAAGTGCAGAGGTTCCCCACGCACACGCAATCATTGCTCGCATCAGCTGCGTAGCAGAACTTGTAGCGGCCACCTGAACGTGTTCGAAGACGGTTAGCCAGTTGGGTGGGGTTGGGCTACGTGGTTTGGATTCAAACATGTTGTGGTGCCTGAAGGGTTGGCTGGATGAAGATGTTCAACAATGACAATCATCAGGGAAAAAATAACAAGTTGATACGAAGTCGACGAAGTCCCAGGAGGGTTGACCTGATAAAGATGTTGAAATCATCGCTTCAATAACCAAGTCTTGGCTTCTCCCCGAAGAGTGATGTTGTGAAGCTTGTTGGGGCCCCTCCACAACCAGAAGTTGCTGCATGACCGTTGCTGCGAAAATCCGGGGGGGGCTTGAATATCGAAATAGCTTTGTAACCCGCCGCGCGCGCGTTTAGGCGCTAAACTTCATGCAGTGAAAATTGGGAGAATTACAAATCTCATCCGATTGCTTCTCTGGCTCCAATTTGTTCCACTTCTTGATCAATACACTTTTCACACACCCCCATCATCGAACGCCTGGAGGCCTGGATTCGGTTACATTTCTCAGCCTAAGGCCACATGACATGGGTTAAACATCCTGGCGAGGTTCGTCGGCGTCCGTATGGCCCATTGTTGTAAATGGCATAGTAGTTCAAGGAGCTTACAGCAGATGGTGGTTGATTTCTTCCTGTATTTGGTATGTAGCTACATACAGCAACACTTACAGCAACATAACTTCATACAACTTCCATCTGGCCACAGGTCCTCCTTCAATACTATCCCCATCCCATCGCGAAAGCCCACGATGGAAGCCGCCTTGCATGAAGCTGAAGTTGGCGTTGCTCGCCAAGCGGTTCTCCCCCACCAGGCTGAGATCTAATGGCCAAACGCTCTCCCCCGGTACCTTGTCGCATGCAGGGCTGGTGGAGCAATTCTGGATCCCTCGCCGACCCGGTTCAGAAGGCAGCGCCGACCCGGTTCAGAAGGTAGCCCTTAGCCTACCCTCAGTTCAACAAGCATGGACACCTAGAAGAGTGGCATGGACACTTGCACCGGGAAGAATAACCTGAAACCTGAAAATGGACCTTCAGGTTCCATGTGACAATGCGGGTCTCCCCCGCGGACGTAGAAGAGTGAATTGGAAGACCTCTAGCCAGTGCTTGCTCGAGCACTCCCAACAAACCCCTCGCGGGCAGGCTCCCTCACACTGCGCCGTCTTTCACCCTTCCACCCCGGGGAGGCGTTTTCAACAGACCGGGGGCTCTACACTCCGAAGACTCACGGAACCGGGAAGTGGAGGGAGTGAAACCCACCGGACCTGTTTGGTCGGATCTTGGTCGTCCGAGTCCGACTCCGGGGCTCTTCCGGACGGCGAGCCACGGCGATCCACCGAACACCTCGAGGGAGACGGGCAGCGCAGCGGTTCAGCAGCTTCCCGTCGGAAAGAGCTTGGGGACACCTTCCAATTGGGTCCATTGATGTCGGCGTCCAGCGTATGTTCGCTCCACCGATTCAACCCGAAAGCCCTCCTCCGCCGCTCGGAAAAACCTCCGAAGGGGACCCTTGGAACCCGCCCGCTCATCCCCTTCATGCCCATCTTCCCCTCCGGAGGGGCACCGGCGCGTCGTGGAGCGCCACTGGGGCTTCGCAGTCGGAGGCCTGTGCCTCGGTGGTCACCAGCTTCAGCATGGCTCTTTGATGGACCGACCTCAGCAAACTGCGGGGACCCGCTGGCCCCAGGGGGCACATCGGGACATCGGTGCTGGAAGTGTCTGGGGTGTCTGGACGTGTCATTTGCTGCAGAACGTAGACCATTCCGCCACGGATGTAGAGAGAGAAAGAGAGAGATAGCATGGGCAAACACGGAGCGGTGACTTTGTTCTGCAGAATGGTCTGCAACTTATATAACGCAGGGTGTTCATTGCTTTATGACTTTATGAGCCGGGAGAAGTTAGGATGGCCACCCCCACCAAAAGGGTACGGAGTATGGAATGCTTTTGACTTGCTTTCCCTCCTGAACATTTCCAGCACCAGCAAAAACCAAGTCGACACATGCAAATCGTGACTATGTACTCTATTTGGACATCTCGTGACGCCAAACAGCTGGGCGGCGCAGCTAAACCGCCGCACCCCACGTGCTGTCCATTCGCGCATTCGCGCCGTGCCGTTCGCTGCGGCCGAGGTGCGGCGTCAAGCTGGGTCGTGCGCGGCCGGCCGGGCAGAGGCTCCAGGTGCCCCAGCCGGCCGCCCAGAGCTGCCTGCTCCGTCGGCCAGAGGCGGACGCGAAGGCCGCTTGTCTCACGGCCCCCCAAGGTGGATCCGAGATCCCGTGCGATCAAGTGCACAGGTGGAAAGATGTTGACAGATTTCTATAGTTTTGATTGTACGATATGGTGGCCCTGCAACTTGAGCCTGGTTTGAGAGGTTGGAGATGTTTGATGCATCGGAATCTCCAACAAGCAAGCTGTTTGATATATCATGATATATCTGTGCAAATGTGCAAGTCGTGTCTGTCACGCGCGTTGTTCTAGAGGGTCCGCTTATCATCTGGTCAATAGCGTGTAATGCTGTGGGCGTCATGCTCTTGAAGGAGAGCAGTCTGGACAGTGAGGCTCATGCGGAAACATAACATGATTACAACATAAATATATTATATATAATATATATTACTGTAATACACTGTAATTTTATACGATTTTATATATATATATATTCTATTGGCAGTTCATTGCATGCTTTGGGAAGAGAACATTTTCTTCTACAGTCGCAATTTCTTCTGTCGCAAGAGACCATGTTGGTCAAAGCAGCATGAATTTTCAAGATATGAATGCTCCCCAAGGGTGCGGGTTTCTTTGCGGAAATTGTTTGTTGCGTTTGGGGGGGTGTTTTTGCGGTCGTGGTTTCTCTGTAGTTCCTTCAGTGGAACTGGAAAAGCGTTGCGTTTGGGGAATCTTCTTTGCGGTCGTGGCTCTCTATAGTTCCTTCAGTGGAACTGAAAAAGCTATACTACCTTCGTATGACATGGGATTTGCAAAACACACATGGAAACTCACACATTCCCAAGTCATCTGCCTTGTCCCCTTTGTGTCCAGAGTGTATAAATCTCATGCCATCAGGCAAAAATAAACTAAAAGATGATAATGCGAAACATCACCAGATTGCCCATGCAACCCAATGCAAGGCTGCTCTTGAAACCGTGCCACAAGTCCTATCTCATCCTGCTCTACCTATAGCCACCTAATGGTGCCAATATGCTTTTGATATAACATAGGACTTCCCCTACTAAACTGTTTGATATGACAGCTGTCCTTCGTCTGCGCTGCATATAGCTCCAAGTCCGAATTAGAGCAAAAAAACAAAAGCTTCGGCCGCACGGCGAACAAACATGAGACAAGTGCATCATAACCGAGAAGGGAATACAGAATGAAAGCGTGTTGTTCATATGATGCACTTGGGTTGCTCCTTAAGGTGAACTAAAACATACTAAAACGCCACCACCAGTGGAGCAGAAACAAAGTGGGAAAAGCATATAAGGCCAGAAAAGCAAGCATAAAGCAACAATAACTCAAGGATTGAAAACAAACTTGTCAAAAGGTTCAAAAGTGAAAGCAACAGAGACCATAGGAAGAAAAAGCCCCTACGATAGGGAATCAATACGCCACAACAAAAAGACGAGAAGAAGGAAAGTAAAGGAGAAAAGCCAGGAAGAACAAACAAAGCACAAAAGGAGCAGGAAAAGTAATAAAAACCTGCATTCACAAAGAAAGCAATGAAAAGCAAGGAAAAGAAAGACAAGCACAGAAAAGCAGAAAAGGCAAGAAAAGCGGGAGCAACCACAGAAAAGCAATGAGAAGCAAAGAAAAGCGGCAAGAAAAACGGGAGAGATCATAGAGAAGCAAGGAAAGGCAAGAAAACACCCACACAAGTAAAATAACAACAAGACAACAAAAAATTGCCCTCCATTACTCCCTCCATTGCACAAGGATAAACCAAATTGTAGAACTTGCTTCGTTCTCTTTCCAAGTTTTTGGGCGATGGTCATCCGATCGGATGATGGCCACTCTCTCGGGCGCCGGCCGTTTTTGTTGGGGCCGAGAAGCATGCCATCCAAATGCCATGGGGGCACCGGATCGAAGTAGGAGAGCAGCAAATGGTTCTCCTATAACAGCCGAGAAAAGGGCGAGATGATCGGAGCAAAACCAAGAGGACCATGGTGACCATGGCCAGAGAACGAAGAAGAGTACTGTCGTAGAGTAGAGTCGAAAAGGGCACACACACCCCTGGCAGGTTTCCACCCACATGTCCCATCTGTGAGGCTTTTGGATTCTCATCAATCCAAAGAGATCGGACCCCGAGATCGGACCCCAAAGGGTGGGGCCCAACTCGCTCCGCAACCCTGGCGCATCCGTGCGATCCGTGGGGAAGCAGCGAAGCGGCGTCCTCTGGGAGCGAACCGCCATAGAGGCGCACCGTGGCCGTATTCTGCGAGAAATGCCAGGACAACCAGAAGTCTCGGGCGCCTCTTTCGAAGCTTCTAAGAAGGCTACGAGTAGCGGACAGTGCTACTAGTCGGAATGGCCTCCTAGCCTAGCGATGGCCTCCAACATCTCCAACCAAATAGCTATTTGCTACTCTATTTGCGACTAGTTGGAGCATCGAAAGCAGAAAACCCACCCTGGATCCGGTGATCTGGTCTGGCGCTTCCAGCCACACGGCGATTTGATTGACCCAAAGTGGCCGGCTCCCAATGTTCTTTGAAATCGCTGCAGGCCAGTTTAGACAGATCTGGAATTCCCCAGAACATGGAAAACCTCACAGTTCTGCTTACTCCATCATCCAAACTAACCCCCCGTCACCCCCATCTACATCATCTACATACTCAGGTCTACCCTTCCTTGGTGCAGTCATGATGCTTTATTCAGTGAGATACCTGGGGCCCTCTCCCCTTAGACCTTCATAGACCTGGTGTTACAGACCAGACCACCCCGCCGCCCCTGCGCCTGTGCCCGCTGCCGTGGTGGACTCCGAGACGCCCAGCGACACGTCGTGTCGGGCGCGGCGCAGGAGCAGTTGGCCCTCGAAGGTGAGTTCATAGCCATCCTCCAGTGAAGGACCCAGGAACAGGCTGGCATTCTCCGCCTCCAAGTGCCTCAGAAACCAACAAATCGGGAAAACAAAAAAAACCTCGTTCATCCTCTTTCGAGGTGTAAGAAGTGTCGAAAGCGAGTGAAACCGTCATGTGCAAGAAGGAATCTTGACTGATGCCTCCAGAATTGTTGGCCGTTTCACCTGGTGTGTGGCCAGTGGGCAGCCAACGAAGGCTTGTTAGGATCGTCTTCTTCAAAAAGAACATCTCAGGGGCCCTGGGCACCCAAGCTTCATGGAGTTTTGGGGCTCTCTTCCAAGCTTGGATTCATCGACTTCAAGGGCCAACGAGTTCGAAACTGGCATGTTCACCCCATTAACCGTCCATCCTTCCCATCGATTTCCATCCCCAACACTGAGGCAAGATCTCGCTCGCTCGCTCGCCGGGTCACAGCAAAGCTTCCACCACATCTCCCGTGCTTGGAAAGCGCAAGGTCAGATTGTAAGAGGCCTCGCTGTTGGTCGTGTCCACCTGATCACCGCAGGTGGGCGGTCCCGTACCGGAGGTGGGTGGGCTGAAGACGCGATTCTGCCCTGCCAAGTTCAGGTGCAAACCTGCACTGGGAGCAGGCTCCATTCCACATATCATTCGATATAACAACCGTAACGTAAGTGTTTAATGGGGGACGGAGTTGACGATCGGAATTGTACAAGTTGATGATGGTTTTGTTGGCAGGACGGGCCAAACCAGCTGCTCCAAGTCACACATTGGTAGTTGGGAATGGCAATCTCCAAGCCGTAGATCTCCACCCCGGCACTCACCTCCGCGTGCGTATAGAGCAGTTGACTGCTCTTACCCAGTCTCAAGAAGGATCCCTCAGGCCAGCTCCACGCCAAGCCCTGGGCGATCTCATCACCCGCCACTATGGCTAGCCATGTCCAGACGAGGCAGAACAGCATCTAGGGGGCTCATGGACCCCGCGCCATGGCAGAGCCAGGTCTGGGTCAGCTGCCCTAAAAGGGCTGCCCTTTCTTTTGGACCCCAGCAGAGCGGCCAGAGTTCTTCTCCAGCCTCAAAGCACCTAATTTGCCGGACAAATAGCTGCAAATTGGAGACACCCATCATGCTCGTAGGGGGGCACGGTGAGGGGTGTCTACTATGAGGGAGGATACGGTACAGCCATAACAAGACTGCGTTGGCCTCTTTAGTGTGCTTCAGCTTGGCGCTTGGCCCCATTTTGCTTGCAACAACGGTCTGCTTTACTCACTGCTATAATTGCATCGTCCTCTCTGCAAGGCTACTCATCCATGGCCCACAATCGGCGACAACTCGTCCAGAACCCTCCGAGATTGCTGGGCCAATGTGCAGCAACTGGTGTCCAGCAAATGGCCCTCGAAAAATAGACACTGGCAAACCCTCGTCGAGCACGAACATGACATGAGCCACTGGAACACCAAGGTCGGGTGTTCCGACTCCAAGCTTTTCAGGCAGCTCCATGACCCTTGCCCCGCTCCCCTAAGCAGGGGAACAGCCCCCCCCACCGCTCCAAACTGGGACGTCCACAGAGTACCACGTCCAACTCCAACGCTTCGGCACGGGCCTGGCGCAGGGTTCGCCTCGGGACCCTCGGGACCCTCGGCCCATGGGTGCCCAGTACGCCCAATTGGGCCATCTAGAAGCTGAAAGAGGAGGGATGTTGAGCTCAGTCGTATGGTCATGGCTGGAGGTGGCTCACACTGGCTAACCTCCTCCGTTACCCACCACATCTGGAGTGGAGTGAACCCAAAAGAAGCAATTTGCCACAGATGCCAAAGGTTGCTGCTCTAGACTCAAGATGCTTTGGCAAAGAACTGTTGCAGGTGGTCATTCAGGTACAACATGTGTGTGCCAAAAACAGGTGATGACAGGAAAGGTGACAACAGCATCTGGTCAAACCCTGCTGTGCTCAGCCTGTGTGGGCAAATGAGCCGGTGAACCTAGCCTCAAAGGTGACCCACTGCCAAATCGGAAAAGGTCATCCACAGGCTGCGAGTTCCTGGGTCTTACTTCTTGAGCACCTTCTCGTCTACTTAGGACTCGCCGGCTTCGCACGGCAGGGTGATCTCCAACCAGTGAAACTCGCTGGGACTTCTTCGCCACCCTCAGAGTGGCCTCTGAAAGAAGCCAATTCGCCCAACTCCAGCGGCTTCTTGTAGCACAGACCTGAAAGTCATCCAGACAAAATTCCCCGGGTCACCACACAGTGCAAGTGAAAAACAGGTGTCACTAGCAAACCCTACACTGGGACTCACTCACATGGAAATGGAAAACCCTCCTTGGTAGAGAGCAGTCTTTGGCTACAGTTCCTTTCCCCGAGGACAGGAAATAACATGAAAAACAAACGACACGACTATAGTCATTATGGTTCTTGGCCATCAGTACCCATCATAAACGCCCATAAATCAAGAAATCAATAGTGCTGAAACCTGTCACGTCCGACCCAAACGTCGTCCTCTTCCCCAAACCATCTGAGACTGACCCCCTTAGTGCCTTAGTGCCCCATGAACCTTTAACCACCTTGAACCCCTTTTCCATCTCTTCACTCGTGGAGTCACCAGCTGCAGGTGATCCACCCGCACCGAAGGTCACCTCCGACTCGACGACGTCGCGTCGCCGTGGTCGCGCAGCCGCCACCGGGCCGAGGCGCACTCACTGCGGCACTGCAGAGAAGCACATCCAGGCGGATCTTCTGCCTCCCAAGACATGACGTGAAGCCTTAGAATTACCACAGCTCGCAGTGGTGTTTGGGGTTCCTCCAGCCTCTGCAAGCCCTCCAGGCGACGGAGCCTCGCCGTCGTCCGAGCCGGTCCGCCGGTCGGACGGCCCCTGGGCCTCGACATTCCTTGAGCACCGTTTCGGGCCGTTTGGGTGTGACCAAGCATCAACGAGCACATGGGAAGGACGAGGAGTGGTCACGAGGCAGACATCAGTGGTTGTTGGAGGATCTAGGGAGGTGATTTTGACCTGCTGAGATCGCGATGGGAATCTCTTGATGTGGTCAGTCTGCAGTGCACGGTGAAAAAGAATTCGTCCGTCTATGGACACGGTGACTCGAAATAGAACCTCTGAACTGACCAGGTTCACCCAACATATATAATCGTTCTTGAGACAAAGCTGTCAATCCGCGGCATGCGGTTGAAGTCCAACCCTTGGCTGGAGATCTTCGGCGCAGTTCTGCACGGACGCCCGGTAGGATTCGCAGGGCCATGTCTTGCTGCAACCACGCCGAGCAAAGAATGCCGCCGAGCAACGCCCCACGCCAGTTTCTCACGCGGCGATCTGGGCGAAGGGCTCTCCCACTGAGAGTATACAGTCAATAATTGGCAATGGCACCCCCTTGCAGATTAAAGGAAAATTGTCTTCCACTGGATAATTTCAGGGCCCACGTTAGTCTGCAGGGGAGTAATGCTTACCCTCGAATACAGAAAGCCCATAAAGCCCCATATGGACTCATAAAGAGATGCTTGGCCATGCTGGTTCTGAATCTCTAGGCAGGCTGTTGGTCAAGAGTCAACAATCAGCTTCAATGATCAGCTGATCGACTGGAATGATAATTCTGGAACCTTAGTTGTTCATACAGTCAGGTGTACAACAGAACTTCAGGTGGTCCACTCATTTTCTGAGCTGCTGAGCTGTGTTCTCTTTGACCATGTTGATGACAAGTTAGTTTTAAAAATGCGATGATGTAAATGTTTGTAGAGCCGAATGTTTCCCGGATGTATCGTGTTGTATTCACTCTCGCCCTTACAAAACTGTAGCCCCTTCAAGGCTCGCTTTTCCGGTGCCAGATGCACCAGGCCCACGGCCCATCCGCATCGCTCATTCCCAGGGCCCAGGGCACCCCTTTCCTTCAACGAAACGCAGAAGACCTCTGATAGTTGCGGTGTAGCCAGCCAGGCCAAAGCATGGCAAAGACTCAATGGCCAACCAACCTCTCTTCCTGGTGCAATTTGAGCCTCTACAAGGTGGATCCGCCGCACTGCCCTAGACCCCAAACAAACGCTCCGAACACAAACCGCCCGGTCCAGCTTCAAACGGGCACCTGCCGCCAAGCCTTTCATCAAAGGCTTCACGGTGCCACGCTGGCCACCACGACCACGGCCTTCCAGGTGGGTCAGATGGGATGTGAAAATCATGGTCAGATGAGTCAAATAGGTCAATGATATAGCTACAAATTGATTTGTTAAAAGGGCTATATATATAATACCTGGCTAGCTTGCTGACACAGCTGTGCATGCATTCGTTTTCGTGGGGGGTTCGATCAGATGTTGCTGCGGCTCACCCCCCCCAAAAAAAAAAAACAGGGCAGGCTATGGCAAGCTGTGGGTCACCACTCTCTGGCCTCCATGGGGCTTGTTGCTTCAGGCAGCCGGCCCTACTCGCATGGCCGCCACGGGCGTTGCCCCCCGCCTGCACGATCTCCGCGCCGCACATCGGACACACCCATGGGGGCGCATCAGTTGCCGGCGAGCGAGTCGGAGACGTGGTGAAAGCAAGGTCCGGACAGAAGGGAGATGCCCATGATGCCTGGACTGATTTCACCGGTGTTTCCTTGTTTGATGACTTGGGGGGATTGTTTCTGATCTTCATGGAAAGCTAACAATTGAGATGTTTCATGGGAGCCGGAAAAAAAATCTGGTGAAATCTGCACATCGACCGTTTTTCCCCATTTCTTTAACAAGGCAGCCGGCCACGTCGACCGTCGACCAATGCGTCGATGGGCCAACAGAGGGTTGAAGAACGAAAGTGCAGTGTTGACCATGTGTGGCTACTGCGCTGATCGACAGTCTCTGGAGCTTGAGAGACTAAGGCCTGGCACGCATGGATCTCATGGATGGTGCATGGCTATCTTTCAGGCTTACATCACCATGTATGTTCATACCGCCTTTGAGCACGGTTGACCCTTTGACCCTGTGGAACACCCATGGCCCATGGTGCGACCACAGCAAGCTGCGGAGAGTCGCAGTCAGGGGTCAGGGGTCAGGGGGGTCAACGGTCCCTAACAGACATAGAACCAGAGGACAGGTTCTCTACAGGAAATGGTCACCAAAATGCGTCCCCACTTCTTTGCAAATCGGGGAAGTGCCCATGCTTTTGGCGCAGAAGGCCAAGATAGAAGGCCAACACAGTGCTGGCTTGAGGAAAGTGGCGTTAGGGATCTTTTGGGGGGTGCATTCGGGTACGCAATTAGAACATATTAGAACCACTATGGCCTTGAATCACAATCTCAAAAAATCTCAAACATTGAGGTCAAGAGTTGGGCCACCTTGGTGGAGTTTAATATGAAAGTAGAAGCTGGCCTCCGGACACACCATTTCCTCTTCAAACATTTCAAACTAAGGGTTTTCCACCTCCGTGTGAGTTCCAGGGAGGGTCATCCAGTCCGAGGTGCGAAAGGTCTTCCAGTGTCTCGGGTCGTGTCTCGCACGAACCAGCGCCTTTCCAGGTCGCCCCTTTTCCTCGAACCGCACCGCTCCACGAAAACGGCGTGGAAACCGGCTGCCCCTCAGGTCTTTTGAGGCTTCACCTGTGCTTTGGTCGAAGCAGGGTGCTACTCATGTGCTTCAATCGACTGTGCCAGGCTGCCATGGTAACTGAGTCCGGCACGCTGTGCCAGCGTTTTTTGGCATCCTCCTTGTAGAAGCCTGAGGCTTGCAAGGTTCCAAGTTCGGAGGTTGTGAAAGAAGTGTCTTGTGGCCGCCCCCCCTGAAATCGCAGTCCACGTAATTATTTTTGACGGCGTTGCATGTATCCGATATCCTCATTGAATCCTCATGTTGATCCCCTTCACTTCACGAAAGTCATCCACGCTTTCTCCAGGGCAAGGCTCATAATTAAGGGGAACCTCTTGTAGGCATTGTAGACTCTCACATCCTATCCTATCCAAATCCAAGCTTGTTTGGATGCAAGATGATGCAGAATGCATTGCTTTAGGGAGATTCTCGGATCCGACTTTGCCAACCCCCGCAAACATGCCACGCGAACTGTGCAAACACGTCTCGAAACGATGCGTGGCACTACCACCATCAACACCAGGAATCAAGAAGTTTGACATACGGTAACTGTTATATAACTTGTATGGATGCGGGCCGAACCAATGGATGAAATTGGTTCGGAACACCTCACCTGGCTCACACCTCTCCTTCCAAACCAAGAGGAGCATGGACCGAGGGGCTCAAGCTGATGCGACCCTTCGCTCGGTCCACCTGGGGGGGGCGACGCCACTGACTGACGAGAGGTGTGGGGTGGAACCCAGCTTGTCAGAACTGGGCGGGTGTTCCCTATGAAGCTAAGATAAACCAAGTACCCACACACACACCCAAGGGGGTGGTTCATGGACACCCCTTAATCATTAGACATCCCTTACGGGCCCTGGTACCTGATAGTATGTGGAAGTGTCGTGAGGCTCGAAACTGCGCGATCCGGCCAATCCGGGCTGCTCAAAGACCCTGACATCTGCTGACCGCGACGGCATGCTTTCTGAGACGACTGCATGGCGGACTGCATGGCACTCTGGCACTCACATTGTGCACCAAACCACCCGACACAAATGGCACAATGGTGCAAACGTTCCTCGACTCTCCCGAGATCCTCAAGACGAGGGCCGTGCTTTTTCCACGAGACACTTGCCTTGTAGCTACACTTCTTTGGAATGATCTCGGAATCGCCCACCTTCCACGGCCGAACTCGCGACGTTGCCGGAGAGAAAGGATTGGGAGTGTAGATTGGAGCTGATGCACACTGCACCCACAGCCCCTCTCTGGCCGTCTGTGTGAAATCCTTTCGGTTCTGTCCTTTCACTTGGGGGTTGTACCCAAGGAATCGAACCATTGAGGAGCAGTTGTGCCCCTTGTCGTTTTACCAAGGTGTTTTGATGTTTTTTGTTCTTAGACCACCACGCACAAACAAAAAAAATAACAAACAAAACCAGGTCAACCTCGTTTTTGGCCCTGAAACCGTGCCGATAAAGTCGAATTCTTCAGATGCCACAGTTTCTCAAAATGGAGACACCAGGATGGTCACGAAGCATGTCTGATACCTTCTCCGCAACCATCATGGAAGATGTTCCAACATGTCGTAACTGGTTAGTTTGCACTCCGACTCGCTATATAACATGGAACTGCCCGGTTTGTAAGAGGAAAGTTGTGAACATCCTGTTTGCAGGGGTGGGGCCATCCACATCCATAGTGATTTGGAGGGTACTTACCCGTGAAGTTTCAGCATGCCCGCAGGGCCCGCGCCAGCGTGAGCGCCCTCCGCTCCAGAACCGTGCCATCGAGTGCCACCAGCGTCACTCGGAGGCTGCAGCTCCTGAAGTGTCCGGCCAAGCCGAGCAAGTCGCCTCCCCAAACACGGACGAAACTGGCAGAAGCCCTCATCCTCCCGAGCCAGGAAACGGGCCATGCATCAGAAGTTCTGGAGTGTCTGGAGTTCGGGCAACGACAAGCACCCTACTATATAAATATATAACTATACATATATAACCAACCTGCCAACCCCCAGGACATCCCATGAGCATCTAGGTGGCCTTCAGACGAAGGAAGACAACCCTGCAGCTTCCTACGGCGGTTCCCTCGGTCTTCGTTCCCGGAATCGCTCCTGCCGGAGAATGCCACCGTCACAGCAGCCTCGGCAGGGTGGAGAGGGATGAAGCGGGGTCGAGCTGCGTCCAAAACCCCAAGAAGCCAGGCTTCACTCCAACTCATGTTCCCAGAAAAGCGGATGTCCTGGAAGACTGGACCATGTTTTCATCTGGCCCATGCACCTCATCACGCGACCTTTTCTGGGAGGAAGACACACCCCACTCCCCCACGTCCGGACCTCACAGGCGCCGGAGGAGTCGTCCTCGAGGGGCCTCTCCAGCACGTCCTTCTCCACGTCGACATAGACCTTCTTCGTGCGGCCCAGCAGGGCACCAAGAAAAAAAGGGTGAGATGAGGGGGGAAGACCTGAAGGTACTCCGGAAGAACTTACATGGACCCTGACCATGGCCTGCTGGAAGATGGCATTGGTCTTCAAACCCGTGGTTTTCAGGATCCATGTCAGTCTTCAGGGAGGTCAGAGACCCAAAACTGCCAGGAAGCCAATCCATGATTTGGAGGGTTATTTTTTCAAAAATGTTGGAAGAAAAAACGAAGGAGGCTGGAGGGGGCGGCCCCCAAAAACAATTGAAGGGTTCGGGAGCTCACCGGCCGGTGTTGTGCGTCCATACCTGCTTGTTGGCTCCTCGTGTCTTTGTTTGGGTTGGAAGGAGCTGTGGCAAACCTTTGAGAGGAGAAGCTCCGACAAAAAAACTCGAGGAACTCCCTCCTATCGTCATGTTGGCTTTCGAAAGCGGTGGAGGGATCTGGTTTGGCCATCGAGATTGGAACACCAGCGGCGGAGGTTGTGCCCAAAGCCTCTGCCTTTCAAGAACGAACCAGCAGTTCCAAAGGGGTGCTTATTGGAGGCTAGGGGTGGCCCTTATCCACTCACTGCATGGGACGAATAAAACCCATCCCTTGGAAACTCCTGGTGCATCAACTATGACATGCAGTGGTCCTTGTGGTCCCGAGTCCCAGCGCTTCCCGCCCGCCCCGGCCTTACACTTGGCGCCCTCGTCGCTGAAGGAGAACTGCGAGATGGGCTTCGTGCCCATCCGCGCTTGCATCAGTTGGCCTGACCGCCCGGACGCCCGGGTATGAGGACCCCGGGCGTTCCAAGCCGAAAACACGCCGAACACCACCGGTGTTCACGCAGGACCGGCTGTTTTAGAGCGGTGGGTGTCTCTTTAGTCTTGAGGGCGGAGAGTCGGGGCGGCGCCTTCCGCCACCCCATCTGTTCCGTGTGCGTGAATGCCGTAGTTACTGGAGGTCTCGAATTCTTTCGAACATATACCAATTCATGGGGGGAAAACACCCATCTGCATGCACCCACAATTCTTTTACCCCGTCTCTGGGTGCTATCACGGTGCACGACCCTCCTCACAAAAGAGAAGTTCATCCTGCCTGTCAAGAAGGTTGAATGAAACAAAAAGAGCTCCGGGAGAATAGGAGGATGCTCTGCCCCTAGTTCAAAGGAGTCCCCTTTCTAATCTTCAAACGATTAACACCAGATCCTTAGAGGGCCCAACAGGGCCAAGCCTGAAGGGCGCTGAGCGCCAGAGATGCAGCAATCTGGAGCTGTGGGGGTGTCGGAACTGGGACTGCTGCGGTGCTTCGACTGGCTACGACACGCCTGGCCTTCGAGCTCCTCCACGCGTCTCCGCAGCTCTGCGACGACTTCTGCAGCGGCTGCGCCCACCGCGTCGGTGCCATCGCCTTGTCAGTCCAAATGCAACAGTCGCGCCCCTACACTCCAACCCAACGGTCTGATCGAGGAATGGGCTTTGACATGCTTTGACCATGCTTTGACTGGATGAACCCCCGGGTTCATCTGTTTCCTCTTAGGAAACCGAATGCGGAAAAGGCACGAACCCCGGCCATGTCCATCCGTCCTCTCAGATGCGGACCGCTCTCACCGGAGGGAGCGGCGTCGCCACCCGCGTAGCCACCCTGCGTCGCCCGGCAGCCAATCCGAGGCTCAAAGAGCAAACCCACCAGGTGCACCCAAACCATGCCACGGCCCGAAACCCGTGTGGCCTGCAGTGCCTGCCCCAAAATGAAGCACCACTTCTCCCAGCTGCTCAGCTGCTGCCGAGCTCGATGGGAACGCTGTGAGATCGAGTCAAGGGGATCGAAGGTGCTTTCCCCAAGCGTCCTCCATGGCCAATGCCCATCAAAGGCCATGGATGATCCACCTTCGATGGATGATCCAAAAGAACATCCGCCTTGATGGAAAGGTCTCCTGGATTGATGAGAAAAAAGGGATCCCAAAGCGGTGTCTTCCCCCCGAAAGTATCCCCCACCTTCCAGGAACCTTCCAGATCCAAGTTCCTCAGGAACCCCCCCCCCCCCCCCCCCCACCTCTCCGGCCGCCTCGGGGACGCCTCGATCTTCGAGCCGGCGCCGCGAGGCCCGAGACGGCGCTCCCCAGACCGAGCTCCGAAGTCCAAAAGAATTCACCCTGCCGGGAGTCACCAGACGGGGTACCGAACTTGGAGGAAGTCGGGGTCCCCATGACCCACGTCGACTGGATGGGACGAACAAAAAACCACCCCATCTTGTGACTCCTGGGAAGTGTTTTTCCTCCAAAGGCTGACGCTTGGAAGGTGGAGGTGGAATGCGTCTGCCTGGACCTAGCTGCTGATTCAGCAAGCCCAATCATGTAAGCGGCTGATCGAGAAAAAGAGCCCTCCCAATTGTAAAACCTCTTCAGGCTTGGGGGGAGTGAAATAGAATCAAGAGTCTATATCCTTCCTCCCCGACCTGGATTTCCCCTACGAATCCAGCAGCAGGTTCCCAAAGTTGGAGTCGGAGTTGGTCCTTCTGACGAACGTCCATCCCGCAGAATGGGGTTCCTGGGGTAAGTTCAGACTCGAACCCTGTCTGAAAACACCCAATCTTTAAGAAAAATACTGTCAATGAGTGTACGGGAATATCCGCTCTGGCTTTTGAGAAGTTATTTTGCATATATAATATTACATAATCTTGAAGTCAGACCGGGTCCGGGTCCCTTTTCCCTTGATCTTGTCCCATCCTTTTTCCTGCAAAAGGTCAACCTGCGGCAAATCAGACTGGAGATTCCCCAAATCTTCCGCCCGCCCGGGCGCTGACACCTCACCCCCCTGACTTCTTCCAGGCACCAACACCCCTCTGGCCGGGAAACCGGAGATTTTGGAACTGGAGAACTCCTACATGGCCTTGCCTTTCCCTTCTGAAATCAGTAACAAGTTCTTGTGGGCCCCTAGGCCACAAGGCCCCAGCAAAGCTTCAAACCAACTGCACGTAACTGCACCCCGCACGCCTAGCTTCACAGGCGCACCACCCGTTACAAGCCCAGGCCTTAGATGGCTGGATGGCTGTCATGCCCCCTGCTCTTGGGACATTCCACCAAAACCCGGGGCTGGAAAGCCGTTCGGGTGCCACGCATCATGTCAGATACCTCCGTCAGGGCCGCCATCAGGGTGGGACGCTGTCTCTGCTGACCGAAACGCCGACTCGCCGACTCCTCGCTCCGCTCGCTTCGGGGACCCTGTCTCGGCTCCCGGGCCCTGCTCGGATCTTCGCATGCTCTTGGACCTGGCGGACCCGGGGTCCATTTGGGGTAGTTTCAGAAGCCAATGTAGGTGTATATATGTGGATATGTGCCATATACAATATGCATGGCGTGTCTGGAAACTCTTGCTCTTGCCTGTCTTCTCTTGCCCTCTGAGACTTGCATTCCAACAACCTCCGAATTGCATTGATTGATGATTGGTTGGGTCTCATCTTGTGGTGGACACCGTCTGCTCAAGCAAACGCATGACGCATGCAAATGCAAAAGTCCCCACGGTATGAGACTTCTGTGTGTAGGTGTGTGTGTGTATATATATATATCTCTCTCTCTCTCTCTCTGTGGATTGGAAAAGGGTCTGTACATCCAAGGCGCCCCCCTGAAAGTGCACAGGATGGTGGACTTACACGTTCTTAGTGTAGAAGATTCGTGGAGTCGTTGAACATTTCTCATCAAGTTGGGCCACTTCACGAGAGGTCCCCCATTTATAAACGCTGCCTGCCTCCCAGGCGACATCGTTGTGGGCGTAGTAGTAGCTGTTGGTGCCCTTCTGCTCCAGGTTCCGCCCTGGATCCCGGGCGATCAAAATGCCTCTCTCGCCCAGGTATGTAATTAGGTTTTGTGTTTGTTGTCCAACACCCCTGTTTGGGACCAAATCCATGACTATCCCGGTCCTGGTGACAAGGACCAATCATGATAAATATGTGTTTCCTTACATACTCTCTTGGATCCGTGTGGAACTTTCGCCGTGTTGGTGCTCTTGGTCGATCATCTCAAAGGGTCCGTGCCAGGCTGCCCCAGGGCCCTGGGTGAAAGTTTGGCTGCGCAAGACTCCTGAAGCATGTTTGAGGGCCTACTACAATACAGCGGGGTAGGGCGGGCTACTGCAAAAAACAGTTTCCTGCGTTGTATTGTAGAGGGTGCTCTACGCCCTGCATTATTGTAGTGCGGGTTACTATAGGTTCTAAGCCCCGCTCTAACGACTCAAACTTCATCTCTCGACTCCCTCCACCTCTCCCCCACCCGGCCAAGCTCCGACTCTGCACGCGGCAGTGCAGGCTTCAGCGTGGACATGGCGCGTGCGAATGCAGGAGGGCTCAACTACCCAGAAGTGAATGAAAGCTGCTGGAAATCGGAAGCTTCTGGGTGCAAGATCAAGATTAAGTTTAACTAGGGTACGACGCCTTGAGGCACTTGTGTGTGGGTAGGTGAGGGCCTTTCTGAAACACAGCCGGGAGCACACCCAAAAGTTAAGTACAAGAAAAGGAAAAAAAACGGGTCGTCAATGTGGACATGAGCTTTGTGTCTGCCGCCGCGCTCTGTCACTTCTGGCGACAGGGCATCGCCAAGTGCACAGGGAACTGTTGTCCATCGCCACTTGCCCTCATTCTTCTTCCACAGCAACTGGCAAACGCAGCGAACGCGGCATTCCAGCGTTGTATTCATACGTCTCTTCACTTGCTTTGGCATGAAGCATTTCAAACAGCCCCACGCCGGATCAATGCACTGTGTGCCTGCAACCTTTACTCCTATCCTGTGCAGGAGATGGAACGGACCAAGTGAGAGGCCAACGATCAGAGTCCAAGATTGCTGTCGAGGTCAGAGACATCAACAGTGACAAACAGAAAGACCAAACAGGATCAAATGGAGGAGGGCACGGGCCAAATGCAACAAATCGCACACAAAGGACAGAAGAGACAGCAACGCGTCAACAGAGAGCCTCATGGGAAAACAGCTGCGAGCCAATGTGTACACATGAACGACATTAAAGTTGTGCGAAAACGAACAAAAGTACCCTCTACTGACATTGACAGAATTACCCCCACCCCACCCTTCCCCCCCAACAAATAAAAACATACTGGAATGGTTCATTGTGTTTTCGCATATCATCCACAGGCGCCTGAAAGCGTTATAGTTATGGGAACTACCCAGAAGTGAATGAAAACTGCTTGAAATCGTAAAATGATTGGTGCAAGAGTGCAAGATAGGGTTTAAGTTTAATTTGCTGCAGGCTATTGTCAGGCTTTGGAAAGCTTGTGGCCCAACCTGCGTGTGGTCCAGGAGATTGCTCTTTCCTAGCCCTGGATATCTCTTGATCCTGGTGTTCACATCCGTGTCTCCCTTTGCCTTTCTTGTGCACAGCCATGCTATATTATGCTGTACTCTGGTGTAATACTGAGCCGTGGCTTCAAAGGCAAGACCGACATGCTGCGTGACTGAACGCTTTCTCTTGATGAACTGTGAACTGCATAATTACAGAATGGACAAGCTTGATCTGCACCCATCTCCAAGCACTGTCATGTTCACAAACTCACATCCCCCTCAAACTTGCAGCGCAAGTTAATCAGCCGCCTTGGCCCGATCCCAAGCAGATCCAAGCAGACTTGGTTGCCACAGAGCCCTCCAACACTCAACTGGAAGGCTTTCTCCCGTGGATCTTCCATATATATATATCCCTCCCCAAAGCCCCCAACGATTAGAAGCGAACACAAGAACCGCGTGGAGAACCTCCAGCCCGTGGAACGCCGCAGCGTTCTTTTTTTTTCGACTTCGAGAGGTGAAACCAGTGCCATGCTGCGCACACAGGCGGCCACGAACGGCAGAGGATGCCGATGGGAAGGTCTGAATGTCGGAGTGTGCGAGGTTGGAGCTGAACCAGCATGTGGCACCGTGCTACCCGCAGCTTTGACTTCAACGAGTGCCCTTTAGGGCTCCGGCCAAGTGTCCTTCAGCCCTATTTTGGGGATGCTGGGCGGCCGAACATGAAACTCGCAAACATCAGCTTACATCGAGCTAGAGCTTCTGGAAAGTAACCAAAATAGGTGCAGCTTTTGTCGCCCATGTCACAACCAAAAAAGGGCCTGATCCGACCATCTTCGACATCTTGCGAAGAGTCGAGTGATGCGACTGGGCCACTCCCGTGCATTCTTAGCAACGTCTATGAGTAGCTAAGCAACTCCTGGATGGCTGGCCACTGGCAGAGTCCGCTGGCCCACTACGAAGATAATTACTGCCAATATCCCCATGTTTTTTCCGCAAAGGAGGTCATCCAAGAATCAGCTCTACACTGTACACTAAGTGTATGTCCCTGTACTATGGTCTGCCTCCTGCAGCGGGGCTGGGAGCGATCTTTCATTTCGGACTCGCACGTGTGCCAGGCCTTCCTAGCCGAGTGATACAACTGGCGCCAACATCGCGCAGGACGCCCGTGTTTGGTGCGTCTGAGAAAAATGATCAATGCGAAGGCCCAGACCGGGCAACGCGGGGCTGAGCGGCCAGCGCGGCCACTGCGACCATGGAAAAGTAAGGAGCCACTTCGCCCTGATCACTGATTACGGGCAATCCCAACATCTCCGCTAAGGAGAGCCGATCCATTCCTCTCCTTGTCAGGGTGGATAGATGCATGAAGGCAAGCTTCAAAGCTTTCCATGATCGTGCCCACTCTGCTCACATTACTCAGGAGAGCATCGATGACCTCACGCGTCATTGACACGGTGATGGAAGGAAAACACGACACGGTCAACCGAGCGAAAACCCAGGCCCTGGCAGCCCAGACCGAAGCTCCCCCCAGCTGGCCCTGCTGGCTTGACTTCAGAAAAAGTCGATTTGCAAGGAAAAGTCCAGTATATATACATTATATATATATATATGTGTGTGTGTATTATGTTTATTGTGTTTTTAATATTGATGACTTTATATCATCTTGAATCTTGAAACTCCCTCCCGTGCGTTCCTTCCGTCCTCCGGTCGACTCCCGCGCCGAGAACACCGTTCGCGTTTCGGAGTCCGCGGACGTCTTTCGGGAGAACATGGGTGGTCACCGGTAGAACCGTTGCCGTTGCCTCGCGGGGGGGGGGCCTGATTGAATTAAAAGACCAGCGATCTGAAATAATAGATGTGGGCTTTGGTCCAGGAAGTGGTCCGCGGGCTATTGAGATCCGAACACGCTTGGGCTCCTCAAACCCCGGGCGGATTCTGCGGCCCCGCTGTGGGCCCCTGCGCTTCTTCCATTCGGGTCCTAAGTGTTGGTCCACTGGATCCGTCATGGACCTGATGAGGTAGGGATTGGTTGATGGGCCATGTGGTCGAAGCAGAAGGTCGAAGGCTCAGAAGGCTCCACCCGGGGGTTCTGAAGTGTGAAGCTTCACCGACTGAACGGGCATGGAGTGGTATGAGCCAACATGATCAACGATGCTGGCTGCAAATCAATTACAGTAAGCCCACAAAGTGAATCTCGACATATCTCGACTATTTTTCAATTGATTTCTCAATGGATTTGCGCGGCCACGGCTCCACCATGTAGCCTTCGGAAAGCTAGACTTAAAACCTGTGCATTTCTGGGCTTCTGATGGCTTCTGGGTTTGCTTTTCTTCTTATCCACATCACCCCGCTTCTTGCATCTGAACTCCGCCGGAGCCGAGCCGACCGATGGCCCTGAGGCCCTGGCAGGTCCCGGACCTCGTTCCAATCTTTGGGGGCCTCAAATTGGTAGGGATCCTGGCGGACATGCGGGGTTCGAGGCGGGACCAACTGGCCCGCCATTTGGTCCGTTTGGGCGAAGGAGAAGAAAGGGGGCGCACCGAACTCGATCGGTTCGTGTTGGGAAGGGAAAACCAAGACCCCTGACTACAGAGATGAAAGGTGACACTCTGACTCACTCAGAGCGAAGTGGAGAACTCCCTTTTCTGAAAAGGAGAAAAAGGCTTCTGTAAGGGACCTTCAAAGGGGTCACCAATGGAAGCCCCTACACTACTAAGGGGCCTCCATTGGACACAGGTATAAGGGACCACTTTCCACTTCCATGTGATGTGATGTGTTGGTCAGTGTATCCATGGACCGGGTAGGTATGATGCGTCCCTCTGCACACCATGCACACATCCACACCATACCACACCATCACCCCTTGTGAAGCAAAGGGGTGGAAGGTCGAAAGGTGGTCAGGCCAACGCTTGCGGCGGCAAGTGTTTGACCCTCAGGTTCTCAGAGCCAACAGGTTCTGTTCTCAGAGCTATTGTTTGACCCAACAGGTTCTCAGAGTCTCAGAATCTCAGAAGACAAGTCAACCACGGTGACCACTGCTTGGTCCAAGAGTTGCCCATCACCTGCGCCTGCCTTATGGATGCCATGGCCCGGTGGGCAAGACTTGGATCCTCCAAACGTATCCAAGTTGGCTTTTCCGTGGCAATTCACATGGCGCCCCATTGTTTCTCCAATCACTCCGGGACCTCCAGAAACAAACGTTAACGTTAGGTATGTGGTGAACCACTCATTGGTTATGCCTCAATCCCCTCCCTCTCCCGGAACCATCACGGAAATAGGTGGACAAAAGCGGAGATGTGTTCCGTTCGACTGGCTGGTTCTTGGAACTTCTTCGCCCTGCACAAGCTGGGCTAAAGCCCCAACGGCACCCAACGGCACGCCGTCCTACCTACCCCACCCAAAACGCCAAGTGCCTCCATAAAGCGGAGCAAGGCGGCACTAGGCCCATCTTCCACACCCAGCAAATTCTTCGTTTCGGCCCTCAGTTTCCGGGGCAAATCGGCTCGTCTTCTTTCCACCTCTTTCCCGCGGTCGTCGGGCAAAAGTCTGCACATGGGAGAGAAATCTTTGGGGGCAGAGATTGGAGGTCCAATAGGTCAATGTCAACGAGTTCAAGCGATATCCGCCGAACTATTGGGACCAAATTGCTGAACTCTTTGAAGTACTTACTTGCTGAACTCTTTGGCAAAGTGCCGTCATCTTGCCAAGTACCAGATTCACCCCAACAGCTCAGCCCGGGGCAACATCCGCCGTGCGACCAGCCATTCACCCTGGGAGTAGTTTTGATACCTTGGCGCGGGAAGTGCAGACGTGCTCTGTGATATCAATTCTGTGGGGAAGGGGGTGGAAACGAAGCAATAGAAGAAGAACAGCAGAAACAAAAAGGGACCACCCGGACCTTCAGTTCGTGACCTCTTGAGATCGCAAAAGAATGACTCCACACAGGCTCACTTTGCTGAAGGTCCAAACGAAACACGACTCAGTGCTAAGCGACCTCTTTCCTCCCCCTAGGAGACCTCCTAGTTCGACTGGAAGAAGGAAAGTAGAATAAAACCCATTGGTGGAGTGTCTCCTTATTAGAATACACTGCCAAACGGCCAAATGGGTGACTCATGCTAACACATGCCGAAGCACATCTGCGGCAAACAAGAAATGGTGAGAATGACACAGCAATTTAGAACGTCCACCACCCAACCGTCAAATGCGTACTCAGGTGAAGGATGTTGATTGGTTGTTAACATCTATCTATCCATCCATCCATCCATCTAAACATTCGTGTGTGTGTGTGTGATTCATAACCTCCACCCAATCGGCCAACTCCTACCGCCCTCCGCCCTTGCGCGTCGAATGCAGGGGGTCCGAACCCCATGTTGAACAGCTGGAAGAAAGGAATGGTGTACCTGCAGCACACAAAAGCGAGTGGAAAGAACCGACCAATGTGAATTCATCGCTCGGAACACCATCGCGGCGTTACGGGCCTCCACATTCCCCAAAAGGACACTCCGGGCGAACTTCCGCATCGGACCGCATGAAAAGGTCTCACAAGGGATCACAAAGGAAAGACAGTTCATGCATGTTGAACCCGACACGTCATCCTCAACCAGCGCAACTTATCAATTTGCTTTCAATAGACCACCAAATCATGAAGCACGAATCTCTTTCTCGGCCCCCAACTGTGTGTGTATGGGCGCTTTTAAGGCTCAAGACTTAAGACCACGGCTATATACATGTTCACTTGAGTTCACCACCAACGGACCACCAGCGGACCACGCCCCAACCCAAAAATCGCCCGCATCAGGGTTTGCAACTTCAAGGAAATCATGGGACTGCCAATATTTACCACCCCATTGGGGTGGTTGAAAAGGGGTATATAACTGCAGACTGTAGAGTGTAGACTTTTGTAGGCTCCTTTGATTTCCCTTCAAACACCGCAAAAGAAGAGGATCAAAAATCCATGTCTGGCGAATATTCTCATATATTCTCTCCATCAAGAGTCTGGGGAGTCTACCATGAGGGCCGGTCGCCTACCACGCACGGTGTGGTCTGGGAACTCCGGCCTTTGCCGCATCACCGTGATGGCTGGGTCGCTCTCAAAGGCGGTGACCATTCGGAAGTCCTTCCCACCCCGGCAAGATGACTACACGCCACAAGCCTTTCATGGGGTGAGAGTCATGTTGTGGGCTCTGAGTCCTGTAGAGCGAACTTTAGAGCCAAGAAAGAATCGGTGCCTGTATCTCCCTTTCCGCACTTTTTCAATCGGGCTTTCTTCAATAGATTCAGGATCCTAAAACAGAAACATATGAGTAAGACCCGCATCACATGTTATTTCAAGTGCGAAATGAACGAAAGAAACCCACAGCCAGGTCCTTTCCTCAAGAACAGCCACGTCACCCGCGTCATCCCACATCCCTTCAATCTGCTCTTGGCTCCTCGCTCCACTTCTCCTGCTTCTGGCTCGCAATGAACTGCCGCGCCCGGTAGCGATTCTTCCTCGTGGCGCGTCCACACAAAGCTGGCTTTCCGGGCTTGGCCATGTTTGGAGCCAAGCATTAGGCCCGTCTAAACTCGCCTCCAAGATGAGTGCCTCTAGAATAAAGAAGATGTGTCTGAACAGATTGGCTAGTTTCTCAATGATGATACTTATCATGACAACAACAATGTCTACAGTGAACATATATACATATATAATCATGATATATATATATAGGATTGTATAGGCTCCATTGGGACTGAGACCCAATAGAATTCCAACCCCTCCCCTCCCCCCCCCAAAAAAGACACACACACACACACAGAACCCGTGCGAGTCGACGTCTGCGCATGTCGCGACCGCGGGTCGCGGCGGGTCGCAACGTCTGTGACGCCCCGGCGTGCTCAAGGCCCACAGTGGGCCTTTGCTTTTGTCCACCTCGAGGCCTTGGAGAGAGACACGCGAAAAGCCCGGAGAGGACAAGTAGCATGTCCTTCGCGCGAGGTTGGAAGGGGAAATCATAAAGAGTGAAGAGGACAACGAGTGAATAGAAAGGACGTATTCGCTTTTTCTTTGAAGAAAACGAGTGAAGTGATCTTTCAATGAAGTAGTACTAGCGACTGGGAATCCATCTTTTGGAACAAGATCCAACCCTTTTGACAAGGGCAATGGGGGATAGTCTTGGGAGTCGTTCCTCTCTTGGCTTATCTCTCTCTCTCTCTCTTCCTTTATCTCCCTGTCTAGCGGCAACTACAATTGGCACAGCAGGCAATCAACCATAGTGGATCTTTCTTCCAGCCTTTTGGTAGATTTGTCGGCAACAGTGAAGCCACTGCCCCTCAAAAGTCCCAACGGCTGGTCCAAAACATGACAAATCAATGGATAAGAAACGACCCGTGCATCTGGAGGCTCAAATCTTGAAACCTCTTCCATCTCCCATGTTTACCGCAGGGCCAAACAATGAGTCCCATATTTCAGGGACCTCCCAGTTGCCCCATCTTCCTTCCGTCCCGTGGCGAACCGACTGCTCCAAGGCACTCAAAAAGTCGAGATCCACCTGAGCGACGAACAGCTGCCGCTTCTCGTCACGATCGTCCCCTGGGTCCCTGGGCCTCTTCCCATGACCCGTCACCGTGGAGGATGGAGAGCTTCTCAGGCCGACATCTCAAAGACTACACATGTCTCTAGTCAAGTAAAAGGAGCCCTCTCAGGTCCCTAGACACTATGTTACTATTCTTACATATGTTGTAACTTCATCATTGCATATGTATATTATGTATCTATAATAACTCCTCCACGCGCGGGGTGTTTTCCGACTGTTGCACACAGGGCCCATTCCACCTAATAACTCTTTTGGTGTAAGCATCTTAGAAGCGCAGAGCTTGATACCGGCTGGTCATGACCCTTGAACATGACGTGATCAAACTGAGAATCTTTATCGGGAAACTAATGTCCAAAAAGGATCTTGCAACGGAGCCGGATTTCATCTATACAACAGAGAGAGAGAGAGAGAGAGCTCCCATGAGCAGTGTGGAAACAGGACGACATGGCTCCACATCTTTAAGGGATCAACTTTCACATGAGCCTGTGGTCGTGCCGCTTCGCCGTCCGACACTTCATCCCATCTGTCATCCTCTAGGGTGCTGCAAGCAAAGTTCAAACCATTGAACCATTTTGGGGAAGGAAATGTGTGTCTAACCAATCTGGTGCTGTAGTTCGCCCAAGCCCACTCCAGCCCCGGTTCCCCCCCCGCCCGGTGTAGCTCAACGCCTGGTCCTGGCCCTCGACTTCCCCCCCCCTCCACCGGGCCCTCGCACGCAGTATAGCCGCATGGGCACGGAGGAGCCCGAGAGCAGCACCCGGTCGATGAGACGGCCCTTGTTCATGAACTCAGCACAGCTCATCCGTTGGCGAGGATCGATCCGCGGCTGTCGCCCCGAAACGGTGTCGGAGGCTCCAGTGTCGGAGGCCGCGGCGCCAATGGGTGGAGGCCGCCAAGAAGCGCACTCTGCCAGCACCACCCCCCAAAATCTTCGGCCCAAGCATGTGATCGACTGCTTGAAGTCCTAAGTCCTGCAATGATCAATGACCAATCGAAACATCGGATACTCCACACACGCAAGCAGCAGCAACCAGCAAGCAGCCAAGAGCATCCAGCAGCACCAAGCATGCAAGCAGCAAGCAGCAGCAACCAGCAAGCAGCCAAGAGCCAGGCACAGATGAGATGCCAGCAGCAGCAGCAGCAGCAGCGACCAAGCAGCAGCAGCAGGTACAGAGGAGGAGAAGGGTGGAGTTGAACCCCGCGAGGGGGGGGGGTACAGTCCTGATATATCAGGTAACAGCACTCAGGTCCTGGGCTCCCACCCTCCTTGCTAAAGCAAGACAGACTCCAGCTAGCTACAGCTAGCTTTCGTGAAATCTTGGACTAGACTTCTGAGATTCCCACCCATCGCCTTGCAAAAAAAAGGCCTTCTTCTTCTTCCATCTTCTTCCCTTATGAGCTTCCCCGCTCCCCCCCCCCAGCCAGCCAGCCACGTCCAACGTGTGGAATCGACCTGGGCGCTCGGGACCTCCAAGCTACAAAGCTCCATGCAGGACTGTGCGATCACCACCGGTACGCCATAGACCTAGTTTGCGGCTCGCGGCTGGATGAGGACGAACGACTCGGGGCGTGTGTCTTCGACGCGCCGTCGGTCGGGCGGGTTGTGGGCTCTCGGATGTGAGTGGAGGCGGACGCTTGATGAATGGGACTGTGACTGAGTGGTCCACATCCGAATTCTTCCAAGAATAGACCTAGACCGGCCGAGGGGGGGCTACAGCTGATCCTGATGTGGCTGTGCTTTACCCCTTCGTCCGCGCGCGGACGGCAGAGCACTGTCCGAGGTCGACCAGGGGAGGAAGACTGAGATGACGTGCAGCATGCCCAGCAGAAGAACAATCACACTAGAAAGAACCCACCCCATTTGTTGGGCTTTGGGCTCCCCTCCTGGGGGGGCGAAACCAAAACCCCCCGTCTGCCGTTGTCTTCCGCTCCTGCCGTCTGCCGTCACGACTCGCCCGGCGGGTGGTTTGGAGGGGGGAAGGATCTGAAGACGACGCGCCTGTGTACACCGTTCGACACTGGACGCGATGTTCACCTTGGCCCGTCGGCCAAACGCGGTGGCCCCCGGTCGGATGGACGCAGGGCTGGGTGGACCAAACCGGGAGACCTGCGGGATCTTCTCGGGGGAGATGTGTCCAATCCAAACATTGACATGTTGAAAGTGTCTCATTGGGCTATGTTGAGATCACTCGACGGTTGTAACATGTGGCCGTCATTGGTTTTGCATGGCTTTCCGAAGCTTCATGAACAATCCTTAGCCTTGTGTGCGTGTGTTTGTCTCGCTGCCCTATGGGCTCCAAGCCCCCAGGAATGTGATTCAGACTGTTTACAATCCAGTGGGAAGAAGCCCTTTTTCCCTCTCTTCACATCTTCATGAGGCTCCCTCCTTCCATGTCTGCAACTTGGCAGATTGCTGCACTGCTGATCTGTGATGGGCTTGAGAATGGGCTTTCCACCCAAAACCTGCTCAAATCCATGGGCATAATAATGGACAAAGGACATCTCCCCCAACACCTCCATCTGCGTCAAGGGATTGGGCCAAGTGCCCCGGCATTTGGTGAGACGTAGGAGGCATCGATCTTGAATTCGCTACCCACAGCGCCCTGGGCACAAGAGGCATCGCTACGCGAAGGGCGTGCAACCTGCACACACCTAATCTCATTTCTAGGACCTCAAAAACTGCTCAACGCCACCGCCTGAAAGTATGAGAAAGCATATTGAGATGGAGAGAAAGCACACACCAAAAAGCACACAGGAACAAAAGAAACATCTTCGTTCGCTCAGCACCGCACTTCGATCGCCCAGCCCGCATGGAGGCCGAAGCTCAGGTTCACTCGAACCTCCGAGGCTTCGGCACCTCGGGCAGAGCGCGAGCGCGGAGCGCCAGGAGCAGCGGAGCGCGGAGCTGCGGGGGGGGCGACACGCCAAACAAGCCGGTTCTGAGGCCCGAGCCGTTGGCTTTTTCCATCCGTTCGCCATTGGGAAAGCAATCCTCTTTAAAAAGAGAAGGGTTCAAGGGGTTCAAGGTTATTCTCTGACTGGCTAGGCATTGAAGACCGACCAAGTTGTTCAGGGGACCAAGTTGCACACATTTGTCCATTCCTGAGCACCCGGGCCATTTCTTGCTTGAAGCCGGTATTGAAGCCCGGGATGCGTTCGGTAGTCTGACAGGCGCCGAAGTTCCAGAAATGCAAGGTCCACTCCAGGCCAGTGCTGTTGGATGCGGTTATTAGCATCAAACTGGGTTTCGTCCAGGAAGTCTACTCACATCTTGGAAGGAGGCAGGGCAGCTCATCCCAACAGTGGGTGTGAATTCCACGCTGAAAGTCTCCTCCGCGTCCCCGTTTCGGCACGTCAGCCTGCTAAGAGAGCTGAACGATGCAGCGCACCTCAGTGGCTCACACGGGGCAACACTGCCAGTCAGAGTGTCGAGATACATGTTGGGGGGAGGCTGAAGATGACCAGATGACTCAATCCTGAGCGAACCCGGCCTAAGATCTTGCAGAAGGCTAAGATGGACATCTCTGCAATGCGGCGGCTCTTCTCCTTCTTCTCCTCCTCCTGACCACGGCAGCATGGGCAGTGGGTGGCAGAAATGCTTCAGCTCGCGGCTCGCTCACTCCGAGAAAGCTCACATTGAAAGTGGAAAAACCTCCGCCCATCCGGAAAGGAACGTCGTCCTCCGAAATCGGGGGCCCACGCCAGCCCACGTCGATGCTTTGTGGAGTGTGCCAGCGCCGCGAAGCTCGCCCGCGGCCGCGGGCCTCCCGCACGGTCTCGGTGTCCATGCGCCAAATCACCAGGAACTGATCGCCGCTGTTCTTGTTGGGCGACTGGCGCGTGGAGGGGATGGGTCGGAGGTCTGGTCAAGACTTGAGCCGGAGGGCTGGTGAAGGTGTGGTTTTTCTGTACACGAGTGTTGCAGTCTTAGGATGCCAATTGCACATATATATATATATATAATAGTTAGTTACATATTATAGGTTCTTCATGGATGTTCAATCACTGAACCTGTCTCTCTCTCTCTCTCTCTATAGCCCTCTCTCTCTCACACTCTCTCTGGGGTCATCTCTGTGCAGCTGGCGGCATGTGTCCCGCTCATAGCGACCCTCGATCCGGCCAAGAAGACCGAACGCGCCAGTGAGACCCCATGGAACTCATCGACGACTCCATGGATGATCTCAGCAATCTGATTCACAAAGGTCATGATGCGCCCCTGCAGCACCTGCCCCCGTGCTTTTGCAGCTCGGCGTTGAGGGAGAGATTTCCTGGTCGTCCAAGAGTGCTTCCTTGGGGGGGGTGTGCTTGAAGCTTTCAAGTGAAGCAGCCGGTCATGGGTCACCAGCAGGTCCGTGCGCATGAGTCCACTCGCTCCCCTGAAAACAGGTCAGAGTCCAGAACGAAAGCCTTTCAGAATGCGACGGAGAAGAACCATTCGTGAGGAAACGATGAGCCTCCTTCTAAACGCGAAAGGCCTTCTGAAATGACCCTCGTTTAAAGAGGGTAGCTCAAATCCTGACACACCACACCACAATCCAATAGAGTCTGGCACTGATTAGAGCTTGAGCACTAAATGAAGTCAAAGGTCGACTACTGATGTACCATACCCTTCTTCAAAAATACCATAAAAACTCCATCACTTTTCGCCGATCCTCACACATCCCATCCCTGCACTGGCCTCCGTGGCCGTGCTGAAGTCTTGGACCCGACAAAGCCCGATGACGCAATCCACGCGCAAGCCCGGCAGGATCGCATTGACCCCCGCCGAGTCGGAGCCTCACATCGATCCCGCGCGCGCCGGGACGCAGGAGGAGGGGCTCCTCCACCCCGGTGTCTGCGGTCGGACGAAGCGTCTCCGTTGTGTGTCTTGGGTGGGGAGACGTTTCGAGGAAGAGACATGCCAGGTCTGGAAGTGGAGCCCATCTTTGGTTCAATAGCAAGGTGCACTCGGGGGTTACTCTGTAGTAATGGCCCGTTGGAGGATGTTGGAGGGGGTCTCCCAGCAAAAGCTATGGCAGCTATGGGAACAGTTGCATCCAGATGGTGGGAATGCAACGCCAAGGAAGCTCAAGTGGGTTTCGTGGAAAGTCCCCTTGCGTGGCCCACATGTTCTTTCACAAAGAACGGGGCTTCCGCCAGTCGGCCAGCTGCAGTCAGCTACTTGCTGCCACAACGTCTTGTCCCAAGCACTTCTCAGTCTGATCCTTTAGGATTTATAGCACGACTTCTCTAAAAAAGAGTCCCCTTCGCTGGCCCAAACGCGGGCCGACTTTTTCATCGCCACTCTAATAGGTCGCCAGTGGTTCCAGTGTGCCGAATCCTGAAGAGCTACAGAACTCGTGGATCAGCTTATCCGGCTGTCCCCCGAACGTTCAATGACTCAATAGAAACTCCACCTAGGAGTCCAGGCCGGAGTAGTTCATGAGTCATGACTGGACTCTCAGGGGTCATTGGCGAGATCAATCCAACTGGATTGCTGGTAGATCCAATTGGACTCACAGTTGGTTATTGTGGATATGCATTGGTGAGATCCAACTATGAATCCACTTGTTTCTCCCCCCCATTTGCTCCACCCGCTCCCGCCTTTCATGTTGTGCGAGATGATGTTGGCGCCCGCCTCCGGGATACAGACTTGACCACAAGGACAGGGACAACAGGGACGACTGGGAGCTTGTTCTCATCCAAGCTTTCAAACCATGTGAGAAACACCAACCAACCCCTTGCTTGCATGGTCTCACGGATGACTGACTCACTTGAAATAGTCAGGTGCGACTAGCTTGCAGCATCCCCCTCCGAGCCGCCCCCAACTCGCAACTCGCAACCAGCGGGTCTCCCTCCCAGGGGTCCACTTCCATGAAGAGTGCTCATTCAAAGTGGAAGAGTGATCCAAGGTGTTTTCAATCCACCCCCTTCAACCATCTTCAACCCACACGGTCGATAACCCCAAGGAAGTCGGTCTACTTAATCTGCTACTTCTGAAATGCATCCATCAGGATCAAACCTGAGAACCCGCCAGATTCGAACCGTCCTCAAGGGATACAACCCCCTCGCCTCTCCAAAGCCAAGCGCCAACAAAGAACCCAGCCTCAGAGAAGCACTGCTCATGCACGTGGATGGTACGGGGGCCGAAACTGGTCACAGCAATCCGTGGTCAACACCCACAGCTGACGGACCAAAGGCTCATCCAAAGCGGGATGCGCTTGCAAATCCTCATCATGGTTTGACTTCTTTTGATTCCCAACCCACCTCGAGGTCCAGCACAAGATGTAAAATCTCCACATGCTGGATGTTGCACCCTTCAAGAGTTTTGGAGGCTCTGACACCAAGAGGTGGCGGCTAGGCTTTGACTAAAACGTCACGTACATTTTAAGAAAGGTTGATCCACGCCACGCCCCAAAAAAGCCTTAGCGGGCAGCAGGTGACGAATCCTTGCCATCCGTCGGCTTGGGAATCCAAGCTTTTGAAAAAGGTGCCAAGTGAGAAGGACCAACCCTTGGCTTGTTTCAAAAAGAATTCACTTGCTTGTCCAGCTCCCCCAGCTCTCCAGAAAACCCCCACCTGCCAGCTCCACCCCCTGAGCTCTTCCGCTTGATGATGGTCTTCTCCAAAATCACCGTCTCCATCGGCCCCTCCTTCGCGGCCTTGGTGCGACTCCGCGTCGGACGCTCCCACCACGCACCGAATGGATCCTCAACATAGAGACAGAGAGAGAGTTTTGAGTCATAAAGCAGACTAAAACGAACTAGATCTAACTAGACAATACTAGACATGTTGCACCAGGAAGATGTAACCGAAAAGTCTATCACAGCAGCCCGAGGCACCGAATCCGTCCACCCCCCCTACCAACCGCAACCCGGTCTCCCGGAGGTCCTTTTGCGGCCGCTTTCGGGGCTCCCCTTCACCGGAAGGACCGGTCTATCTGGCCTTTTGAAGGCTGGACCAGCGGCGGTTCTTGTGCCGCTTCGCTAAGGTCAAGGTCACCTTCTTGGAGTCCACTGAGGCCCGATGTCTGCACTGATCCACTTCGATGCTCCCATACAGCGGCCTTAAGGCGGGAAATTGAAAGCTGAAAAGGCGGGTGAAAACTCGAAAACCGCGACGAGACCCAAAAGTAAGTAACATGGGCATGACAACTTGAGTGCAATTCCTTCATCACGGCTTAAGTTACTAAAGTAACTTGTTGGTAAGGGCGAGGAAGTGGTTGGTCCGAAGGATGTCCGGTACATGGTCCTAGGGCCAAGTGGTTGGTCCCGTGGCCAGGCTCAATCCTCATTCTGGCTGGTTGGTGGAAGGGGGGGTAGCAGTGAAAAGGATGTGCTCATGGATGTGGGAGCACCCTCTATATACAATGTACAAGTTTCATCCAGGTATGTAGATGGCAACATTTCAGCCCTATACCATAGTATCCATCGTCCTTGAACAGCTAGCAAGCGCATGGAACTTTCCTGCCGGTGGCTAAGGTTTCCCATATTCGATCTACTGCGGCATTCGATGAGAGTTTACGGGTGCTCCATGGTCTTCGAGGCACCTCCTGCAGCCTCCACCCACTCGCCCAGCCACTCGATCTTCAGTCTGAAGCTTGCGTCCTCTGTCCGGAGCTTCAGGTCAAAGGACTGGTACTCAAAGCACACCTATGGACGCTTAGATAAAAACGCATGCGCAGCGCGTGTGGGATCCGAGGTCTGCCAAGCACATGAGTCACTCGCCTCTCGCCTCATTGACTCTCTCTCCCTCTCTCTCTCTCCGTAGAACCTCACCTTCCTGGAGTGGATTTCCGGCGACGGACCTCAGACTCCTCTGGGAGGGTCGGTTCCGTCGAATGGAGGCAGAAACCATGGTTTGCATGCATCGGTGCCTCCAGTATACCTGTTCTTTGTCTTCTGTGCGCGCGCGTCCGTGGCAACAACAAATCCAGGCCCGACCCAGCGCTAGTGGGGCAAGCACTGGGCACCCAGCCCGCACCTCCAAGTTCTCTTTCTTCCCCAAACTTGCAGAGGCCGAGTCCGGAAAGGTGATGTAAACCTTGACCTTGTCGCCTGCTTGCCAGGCAGCAAGGCCATCGTAGACTCCACGCAGGTTTTAGGGCCAGGTTCCAGATTCGACATGTTTGATGTGGTTACCTATGAAGCGACAGTAGACTGACCAAAATCAAGGGGAGGGCCTGGGCCTGAGAAAAGTAAAACAGGAAACGCAGGAAACCTGCCTTCGTCATTGAAGAGATACTCCTCTAGAAGTGTGAACCTCTCTTCCAAGATCGAGGCTGACTCTACATCCAGTCGGATGGGAGCATATCCCGAATCCTTCATGTCATCGGGCAGCTCCCAATCGATGCTTCTCAAGGCATAGCCAAAATTGTCCTTCTTGGACGAGACCTCACAGGGTAGGTCGCAGCACCCCAAATCTCCCTCGTTCCAGTGTTTGCAAACCCAACTTAAGAAGGAACAAGCCGATACACCAACCTATACAGCAATAACGATGCGATCGACCGAGCAGTTAGCGACCTCGCTCCACCCTGCCTGAAATAGTTTTTTGTTGGCTGGCTGCGACTTGATCGACACCCACATCTTGGTGATAGCCTCCATAGACGCCTCCTGGGTTGCAACACGTGATGCAAAAATCCCGACTAGAAAATTATGGAGTTGTCTCAGGCCTTGACGAAACCCAGGAAGCATATGACTGGCAAAGTCACTGGAACAAACTTCAGCGAAACAGTTTTGGAACCTGTCCGAGCATTGAGTCCAGAACACCTGGGCTCAGTTGGTAGCCTCCAAAACCCCCAACACCTGGGGCCATCCAATCTGGGATCCGGAGGTGTGTGGCCTTGCCTCCTAAACCATGTTTCATCAGGTCAGGTGAGGAGAGTGCGCTCTCTCCTATCTATTTGGAAGTCATGACTAAAGTTTACTAAAGTACACTTTTTGCCGAAGCGGTCTCCCAAAAAAGGAAAACCGCTTCGAATCCATCTGAGGAATTTGATCATTGCAAAGTCACAAGAAGTCGGTCGAGTAGATGGTGGTTTCAGAGTAGATGGTACAAACCGCACTGGCACCCCAAGATGTCTTTTAGATGGGGATCCATATAAACCACCTTTGGGGGGATTGTGCCATCTACTCTCAATCCACTGTAAAGAAGACTAAAAAGTTGCTGAACATCATGGTGTCGGAGCCCTGCATGGCCAGGCTTATCATCGCCTTCATCTGGATGGGAACATTCTCATCAGTGTTGGGCTCGAGGCAGGCCTTCTCCATCAAGTCCAAGGCGCTCTTGCCCGCGTACTTTCCTCTTTTTGCTGGCATCCGACATTGAGTGGAGGAACTGAAAAGTGGAAAGCAACATACAAAAACTCCCCCCAACACCTGCTGGGAGAAGCAATGGCAAGCAGCATGTTGAAAGAAACAGCTGTCACAAACCCTGCTTGTGTGGATGCATGCTTGAGCTGACATGGATGCATCCATGGATGGCAGGTGCATGCTAAGCCTTGGCCGGTTGAGCACCCCCGAAATCACAAGGGCGCCTGCTCTGGGAATTTGCCAGAGACCCCCCAATTCGTTTGATCACCTCCTGTCCATCCAAGGTGAGCTCTCCCTGACCCTCATTGAAACCCCATGATGGACTGGACTTTCCAATGCGTGTGGTTGTTCTTCGATGGATGGATCGGGCCCCTCACAACCGTCTGACGGGAGCATGTTCACTCACAACCCTTGACCTTCAGCTCCGGCAGTCTGAAAAGCGAACCTGACGCGCGAGAAAATGGGCACCTCTCGCTCTCTCTGCGCGAAAAACCGTCCCAGGTCATGGAAGGAAATCGTTTTCCTCATCCACAGTGCAGAACTGCCCAGTCAGGCCAAGTCTCCATCCTTAACCCTGTAGTGAGGATCGGCCTTGCGAAAGAGCAGCTGGGCACAGAGCTGGACGCCCTTACCATGCTGTCGGTAGAAGTGGCACGCATAGATCAAAGGCCTAGGAGTCCGGCCGGACCTGCTTTGCACAGCGGCTCCTACTTGCGCGGCCACAAAAAGGCATGCTTGTAGAAGAAAGCACAACCTGTGCATATCCTCCATCTCCATCAACATTCATTGGGCGAAGTGTAAGCAAGTTCAAGATCCAACAAACGTACCCTGTACCCAGCATTACCAGTGGAGTACCGCCCCGTGCTCACCCCCTGACATCTCAATGTCGCGTGGCGTGTTGCCGCTCATGTCGCGCTGGTCGATGTGGGCGCCATGGGCGAGGAGGAGCTCTGTGAGGAACATCTCGCCTGCTGAGTGGAATGACACCCACAATCCCCACACCACAAAAGTGCAGCGCACAAATATATATATATATATAATATACTATACTATCCTATGCTATACTCTATACCCTATACCCTATACCCTATACTCTATACTCTATACATATACATACACATATAATATGGAATTATGTGTTGACTATATAATGACTATATATTGTAATTTGGAATTCAAGATCTTTGCCAGGACCTGGATGATATTAGTGCCTTATTTTGTTTAAGGGCTTCCTTTGAATCACTTCTGACAGCAGCAAGTCTTGGACCTGATTCGGCGCTCTGAGGAGGGCGGTCTGAAAGACTTCTTCCGCACTGATGCGAAGTGCTTCTTTGGGGTTCTTGGGTGTCTCTGTCTCTACTCTAGCTGCTCTTCAGAACTCCAACCCTGTCTCACCTTCGCTCTTTCACATGAAATCTGCACCCTCTTACGCCACGCCAAGCTTCGACGCGGCGCCCCACCCCGAGACCCGAAGTCAGCACTTCACCGCCGACCGTCGGCACTTCACCGTCCTCGAAGCGCGGAGATGTGAAGGGCGGACATACCCGCGCCGCAGTCGGCATTCACCTCAGCGCCCTGCATGATGGCATCTTCGCATTCCTCACAGACGAGTGGGTGCCGCCTTCTTTTGTTTCAGTGGAAGGGGCACGAAAAGGTTCTTAAGACATCGTAAGAATTTGGAGTCAGTTCCTGAAACCCTCTTGGACACGTGTTCACACCTTCCAGCACGCCAGCACCCCAGCCACCGGGCGCATCAAGCCGGCTCCTCAAAGTCGTCCTTGGCAAGGGCTTGGACCATCCGCTTCGTGCACTCCTCGGCCGGACACCGAGGCACTCCAACCATCTCCGCTTGGTGCACTCGGGAGGCCTCAAAACTCCAACTTGGGTCTATCCTATTACCAGTAACCGTGGATGATGATGGTAGGTATAAAGACCTTTCTCAAAAATAGTGATTTGCTTGTTTACTGACTGTTACAGGCAAGTTCGGACAAATCCAGGAAGTCCAACCATCTTCGTTGTGATAAACCATTGCAGGATGTGCATCGGCCAAGCGGCATTGGGCTCCTTGTAGGGAGCCTTGATTTCGGCGGCCTCAAACAAAACCAGCCGCGAAGTCACAAGCTTTCAGAACGCTCTCAGGAACGAAAAGAATCTTGCGCCCACGATGTTGGAATGAAATCGTAGATTATTCCTTTTTGTAAGCATCATTATGAAGTCAACCCCTTGGAGTATATTTATATCAAAAATGTTGGAAGCGTTTGCAACTTAGTATCCACATCATCTGGGTTCAGATTGGTCACTGCCAACCGGCCCAGCCACACAACACTCGCATTAGCTCGTTCACCATCATCCCGTGCGGACAACGTGCGTGCACTGCGTGGTTTCCACGCCTCCTTCATGGCAGCTTCGAGGGCATCGCTTGCGGAGACCTCTGCAGCCAAAACGGGCGGATGCTGCCGCGTCCGCGATGGTAGAGACCAATACCCAGACACTCCATGTATGTCATAATCATATATGCATGCCAAACTACCCCAATGTAGGCTCATATATGTATATATATACCTGGACCCTGAAACGATGTCTTTTTTTCCGTCTCGCCAGAAAACATGACGCAAAAACATGCAGCAAATTCGCGATAGAAAACATGACGCCAAAATGACGCAGAAGTGACAAAAAACAACGCAGAAGTGACAAAAATCGACACCAAAACTGTTTGTTGTGTGGGTTTTTTGAGCTTCGCCTGAAAATTGCCCTCACCAGAAAAAAATACGTCTTTTGCGGGGTCTAGGTATGGCATACATTCATGGACTGTCTGGGATAGGATCCAGCCAAATGCCAGCGAAATGCAAGGACGTCCCCCAAATCAGCACGAGATCCACCACGCCCCTCTCTGCGCCCCCCCCGAGTCGCACCTCAGGCTCTCGAACAGCTGCACGCTGCACAGCAGCTCGTCCTTGGCGGGTTGGGGGACACCGAGCGTCCGTCCGGGGCTTGGGCCGAGGCACTGAGCCTCTCCACCACCAAGCCATACTCGTCCTCGTCCTCACCTCGCGTTTGGGGACCCAGGTGCGGTGGGAGCGGTGTTTCTCGCCTTCTTTGGGACAGGCTGGGGCCTGCGGGTCAAAAGGTCTCGACGTCTTTGAGGGGTTCTGGGTGAAGTCCAATTGCTCCCAGGACACTTGGCTCACCTTGCACCTCTGGAACTTCTTCCACCGGAGCCGCGGAAGCTGCGGCTTCCGCCGATGCGGACGGCTCGGGAGGGAGCTCTTGGCCATCTTCGCCCACCAGCGGGGGCAGATCGTCCTCCATGGCGCCCCGCGGCGCCGCAGAAAAAGGGCCGCGGTGTTTCCGAGGCTATAGGTGAAAACGACTGGCATGAAATCTCAAAGTGGAAGAACTACTCCAAAGCTGTTGACGTATTGACATGTTTTTGGAAATAAACATCCTTAAGCCAAGTGCTCTGAAGGCGCTCGCCATCCGACAGTTTGTTCGTTGCATCTGACTCGTGATTTCACCGAAGTAGGTCAACCGATTGCCTGTTGACTGTTGACTCACCCTGATTCGGAAAGTCAATTTTCTCGTGGCCCACCCATCCGCCATACTCTTGGAACCCAAAAACTTTGGCCGGATCAGGCCTCATCGCACCCTACAACTTCATACAACTTCAACGGGATTCAACAGGCCCTCACCGCCGAAGTCGCTTGGGAACCTCATCCTTCGGATGGGCGACGGATGGGCGGACCACCGCGAGCCCTTCGTGTCCGCGGTCCGCGGTCCGCTCGGCCCACGGACGGCGAAGCAGCGGCAGGAGGACACCGCATTGATCAACTGAGCCACGGCGGCGTTCCGCGTCGCTGGTCATCGTTCGGCGGCATCGAAACTAGCACGGCCGATGCTGGACCGAGCGGAGCTGGGTCTGGTTCCGGACTTTGGTCAAGGCCCAGAACTCCCCTTTCCCTGAGAGATGCTGCTGTCCATCTTCATGCGTCCAATCCAATCCACGAACTGGCCGCCAAGCTGAGGGCAGAACCCTGGACACACAGCCCTGGCGTTTGATGCGGTACTTCCGCAGCTCCTCCAACTTGAACCTCGGCTCGACCAGCGGTGCTTGCACACGCACTCGAGAGAATGCGTGTAAAGTGGCTGAACTGGGAGGCTGTTTGGAACCTGTGGGCTTAAACAGCATGTGGGGCGAGCTGGAGAACTGTGGACTTGGCGAAACCGGTGGACAAAAATGGACGGATTGCAGAAGATGTTGGTTGCTAGGGGCCTCTGAAAAAATAGACTACGTATATATACCATATATATATATATGTGTAATAATTGTGGTGTGTGTGTGTGTGTTTTGTTTCGACCTATGAAATCGGTAGGTAGCCCCAGTTTTTAAACATCCCAAGTACAGTATGTGGTCTGCCGTTCTGCTGAGCTTTTACCAAACACTCCCAACTCCGCAAAAAGGACTCCAAGTCTCCCATGGTTTACCTTCCAACAGCTACTCTCCGAGGATCACTCCCATGGTTTACGTGGAGTTCACCCGTTAGGAGTTTTTGGGCCTTTGGATGCCTTTGGACCAAATGCTCCTCCCGCAGGGGCCATGCCATCCCCTGAAGGTCAGGCAGTCATGCGCGTCGCGTGGACCCGCCGAACCGCGGGAGAATCCAGGGCCCAAGTGGCTCGTCGTCGGCCATCTGCATGGCAATCAAAGGGTTATCACCTCAGAACATTCGTCATCCAAGTCATTCAATGAAGCCAGATCATTCGTCATCCAAGTGTAGGAATGTGACTCTCATCCTTCATTCAAACAGCAGTTTGATGATTGTGCTGAGCCATGGTGCAAACTGAGGTTTGGCTTGGAATGTTAACCCTCAATCAACTGATATCAGCAGAGATGCCAATAGCACCCTGACGACTTCATCGCAATGAAGGAACCGGGGCCGCTGAAATCTCGTGTATAGGTCGGGCCAGGCTGGGCAGTTGATCTCCAAAAACAACGCTGCAAAGCACGGTGCCAGATCGAAACAAACAAAATGAAACAAAAGGAATGAAATCCCAAAAAGCTGGCGCCACACCCCAAGACGTTGTGTACTCTTCATGTTCTTTGGAATGGAGTTCGGTGTGCCGCCAGGTCTGGGCGGCCCACTCCGTCTCACACCGCTGCACTGGCCACTCTAAGATCGACACGAATCGCCTTGACGCGTCGGATCATTTGCTCCACCTGATCATCCCCAGAGGTGCGGCTCGGCCACGCGAGTGCCGCGTTCCGCGGGAGGGCACGGGCAGGAGTGGGGAAACAGTGGATCCAAACCCAACACAGTCACCTGCAGCCCGGCTTCAAGCGAAAGAGCTAAACAAGTTGCAGTAACAGAAGGGATTCAGGCAAGACTCTTTCTCATTAGAACAGCCATTCCTCTACCAGTCTGACCTTGTTGTCCAATGTTTGCGGCACCGGGGACATCAGGAGGCTGTTTTGTTGGCAATTCTTCCGTGTTGGGCACGCGCAACCTCCGGACCCTTAGCATGACACTTCTAGGCACACACTGATACACCAAGACTAGATCTACTACTTTATGATGAACTGTCACCAGTGGCGTAACTGTACTGAGGTCAGCGCCGGGTTCACGATCAGCCGGTTAGCATCTCTTGAGAACATGAGCGACCTCACAAAGGCCCGTGTCTCTCGAGACGTCGGCAAGTACGTGATCAAATCAACCAGCCAATGTATGCCAATGTATGAGGCAACCAACCAACCAACCAACCAACCAAGACCTGCCTAGCAATCCACCAACCATCTTACCTACCATCCAACAAGGTACTGTAAGACTTCACAGCTGCATTACACATCTTGGGGCCCATGCCCCGCCAGCAAAAGCACTAGAACGAAGCCAGTGGTTGCAAGACCTCGGGCCGTGCCAGTCCAGCGGGGTGGATCCCGGACACGGCCGTGAGTGGAAATTCAAGGGTTCCAAAGGAGTGGTGCGTGGGTTTCAACAGCGCATTGGTCCCCTCCCTTCACTTCGGGTTTCTGAAGGTTTCCAAAACTGCTTTGGAACTGCTCTGTGTGGAATTCTTTCGGCTCTGTGTGGACACGTCTCCATGCGTCCGATGCTTGAGCCACTTTGAGCCGAGAGACGAGCCATCAGAGCCACACTTTCTGAGACGTTGGATCTGAAGGTCGGATCAAACATGGCATGTTCCGGCAGAGCTGTGCCGAATCTGTTGGCGTGTCTATTTACACTCCCTGAAACCATCATTTAAGGTCCATCTATGTGATGCATAATGATGCATAAGTAGACCTCTGGAAGACCATGTTCCATATTTTTACTCTACAAGAGGGTCCTCGTCGGCTTCCATGATTGTTGGAGGGGGGATAAAAACTCTAAAGGTGGCGCGTGCAATCATCACCCATCCTCCAGCAAATAGATACGCAAAGAAAGGCCCAAAGCCATCCAAAGCCCCATGCAAACGTTGATGAGACACAGGCCGTCCTCCCTCTCCCCAAGCTCCTGCCGAGCCGCTAAAAATGGCCGTCTCCCTATTAAAGAGCCTTGGCGAACGGCCGCTCGCCGGCGCTCTCGCTCCGGGTGTCCGGACGGCTGGAGGTCGCGCTGGGTTTGAAATGTTTGAAGGCCAGCGGGGCGGCCCAGGCCAGCTGGGTGTTTTTCAGTTGGGCGACAACACCAAGTTCAACATGGCGAAAACAGGCGAGAAAAAAAAAACAAACTGAAAAGCAAACAAAAGAGCATGGACCGTCAACGTTTTGTCTGGTTAGGTTGCGTTGTCCCAGAATGTCCCAGAGACACGGGATTAGTGGGATCAACTACCTTTGAAAAAGAGCTTTGGACTCGAAGCCAAGGTTCCTGGAGTCTTCCAGGGACTGAAGATATTTTGAGAGCGCAGATTCTACCGCATTACAAGCACACCCTCAGAACTCCTAGCAGTATAGCCCCATGCAACAAGAGGTCTACCAAGCCAAGTGTTCGAAGTCAAGTGATTTGTTCCACAGGCTTTGAACCCGTTCGGGCTCGAAAGGTCCCGGGTTTTTCCGCGTCGTTTGAACTCGTTCGTCGAAATCGCCCACGGTCGGGGGCCAGGCCGAACATCAAAATAGAATTCGAAGCGCCATTCCTCGGAGGGACCGCATGAGGGAGCAGAGAGCATAGACGAAGCCCCTTGGAGATGTTTGACCTTAGGGAGTGTGTTAAGAACCTCCGGCGCCCTAGTGAACCTCAAAAAAGGAACTACAGTTATGATGAATAAGTGTCAAAAAGAATGCTTTAGTTGCTTGGTGGGAAACCACCGGGTCGGTCCAAATCCAGAAATCGATCAGGAAAAGGTCACCGAGGTTAAGCACTTCGGGCTGAAGCGTGGCGACCCAAGCTGTGCGGTGGTGATCCAATCAGTTTGAAGGGCTGAAGCTGCGCGGTGTGCACTGGCTGTGCTCGTGAAAGCATGGAACACGCAGTAACCGTGCTCGTCCAATTCTATCATGATCACCATTCCTCACCCTGCATCCCCACCCCATGCATCACTGAATTCATGCCAACGAACTATATCAACTATATATATATGATGTATATGCATCACTTCGAGTCCTATCTCCATCTTCACTCCACCCGAGTTCCTTGGCCCCCGCACGCTAAAGGCCTGTCGCGTCTGCCAGACCGGACTGTACCGGAGCGACTCGGTCACCCGAAGGTCCTGGCGGTCGGGGGTCACAGGTCCTCCCGGTCTTCGTAACACAAAACGAAAGGATCCCAGTTTCAGGTCTCTCACACCTTGTTGGGTGGTTGTTTCTTATTGTTTCTTTAGCGTTCACTTGTTCAGAGGGCCAACCTCTCCCTCTCTGGACACCTCGCCCTAGCTGTCTCATAGAGTGTCCCACAGGAACACTCTGACGGATTTAGCTGCACTAACTGTTTCAGTCCTGAGGGCATGTGACAGGATAGTAGACCCCTTCGCCCTCTTCGGCAATGATGGACACACCTGGCGCACACGGACTCGTCTCTGCTGTGCAAGGGAACTGTGACAGGCTACATGACACACACACACACACACAAAACTTTAGGCAGGGAAACACAAAAGGTAGAGAGGTACAGATATATGAGAGGTGTATCAAGTGTGGTGTGTGAAAGAAGGGACTTATGTCGGAGAGGAGGGGTTGCTACAACATGTGGTGTCGTGGAGGCTTGTCAACACTGGTGTATGTGAGAGCTGTGGTGTGTAAGAATTGCTTGGTGCCAAACTGTGCTGCGCAAGTGCGGTCGTATGTCACGAGCGCGCTCCGCATAAGAGTGACCTGGGTCGCGAGGAGAAGTTGCTAGAGCATGTGGCGTGGTGAGGTTTGTCAACACGGCTTTGCGTAGAGGCTGTCTTGCGTCAACGCTCGTTTGTGTAGAGCAATATGGTGTGTGAACGCTGGCTTGTTACAAGTAATTAACACGGTTTTGCAGGCTGTGCTGCGTCAACGCTAGTATGTGTAGAGCAATATGGTGCGTGTGTGCGTGCTGGCTTGCGTGAAAGTTGCGGCGTGTGAACTCAGGCATGTGTAAGAGCTGTACGCACTGCGTCACTGCGTCGAAGCCGTGTTGCACAACCTCATTGTAGGGGCACTGCTGTTACTGCCAGTGAATGGGCGTCACGCTATGGTAGGTGGGTGATGATAGTGGTGCTGGCGAGAAGGGCAAGGGAGTGGGTCACCAAAATAACAATTGATTAATCAATTACAGTATTCATCACATTGGAAGGAGGGGTCAATAGAATTGATATACAGTGTATATATATATATATGTCAATATTTGGTCCTGAGCAGGCTATTGAAGCTAACCTCTTTGCTTCGCAAAGCAAACTCAAGTTAGCCCTTACCAGGCTACCTTTCCTGGCAAAGCCCAGCAATGCCCAACATATGAAATAGCCAGAAGTGTCCACAAACCACGACGAGATGGAACGGCAGCAATGCAAAAAGGATGGGACATGTTCAACAATGTCAAGCACCTGATTCGGATAATGATCCTACGACCTGTGCCGGATCATTGTGTTGTTTGAGTGCACATCGAACATCATCGAACAGTAGGCACTGTTCAAGTGTAATTTCTGAAATATGTCTCGATGTGATAAGGGCGGGCATAGCGGGAACACCCACCGGCATCTGACAACCCGATCATGGCCTGCCTTTTAAGTATTCTAGGTTTTGCGAAATGATTGGGCAATCGTTGGTCCATGCAGCAGCCAACCACTCCTGGAGCGCGGAGGCGAGCGACGCGGCGCCACGGTGGCCCAGCTGTCTTCAGGAGAGGACGGGACGGGACTTCCAGTGTAGGCTCCCAAGTTGAAGAGAATAGCGGATCCAACATAATATTTTGGTTCCTTAGCTTCTCTTAGCTTTCTTAGCTTTACCACGCCTGGGATCTGATTTTCTGGCCAAAGAACATAAGACAGAGGAAAGAAACCTTTCCAGCAAACACAGTGGACATGTCTGCCATGTCTTCGTTTTGGCTCGAAGAGGGATTCGGGTATGTAGGGAAAGCATCCCCAACCATAGGCAAGTATTCAAAGCAGCTTGGAGTGTACACTGTGACTCACTAACATGGAAGTGGAAAATGGCGCCGTTGAAGACTCCTTTTCTTTACAAAGAGAGAATTATCCACACCTCCATCTTAAGTGAGTCAGAGTGTACAGTAGCGCTCCCAGCTTCTGGGTCCCCTGGACTCAGTTTTGACCTTCCATCACCGCCTCCGAACAAAACGCATGCGCCTGCGCTTGGGAGGGCAGACTGCCCAAGTTGTAGACCGCCTGGTCCCGCGCCTGGGCGTTTTAACGGAAAGCAACGACTCCGGCTGCTGAGATGCCGAGAACCCCCATGGCCCAATTGTGCACACACAATAGATCGAAGCTTATATATATATATATACAGTATCAGGTCTAAACTTCAACAACCCACTTCAAGACCCTTGTCAACCCTTAACCACTCACCCACCGCATGGTCCCTTTCAGGGGCTCTTCCAAGTGAGTCCCTTTGGGTGGACCCCACCCTTATCGTCAATCAGCTCTACAGCGATGACTCAGCGATGACCAGCTCTACAGCGACGATCAGCTCTGCCTTGGATGCTTCATCGAAGCTCTCCACGACGGTGAGGTTCAGTCTGGCTTTGCTGGCCTGGCACGGTTGCCGTGGTGTTGGTGAGTGATTCTCCAAAAATTGGCCGGAGTCTGGGAGGAGTGTTGGGAGGTTCTCTTCAAGTTCATTCGCAGATTGTGCCACTTTGGCCTATTTGGACGTTGCTGCAGCCATTGAAAAGTCGTGGTGAAAGCAACTTCATCCTGCCACAATTGACAATCGATGGCAAAGCCTTCAACAGGTATCCGGCGCCTAACTTCTATCTGTTTGCGCAGGTGCTGCCAAAGCCAGCGACAAGGTAAAGAAAACTATCAAGAATGATCCAACGAGACAATACACCATGTTCTACTGGTTTCAGGCCATCCACCTTGAAGCTAAACTGCACCCCACCCCCTTCACGTCTACCAGCCAGACCACACCCTGCGCGCCTTGGCAGCCACCTCCGCGAGATTACTCCCCCGGATGCCCACGAAGTACAAGTGACCTGTGGACGCACGACATGCGCGAGGACTCCGGCGGCCCTACTACGAGTAGCAAGAAGCTACTAGGCTACTAGTAGCTCCTGGCATTACTACTAATAACAAGAAGCTACTAGTATGTTCTTCAAGGCACCTCCACCCCAGGATGGACATGGAATTTCATGGTCTTTCGGCGAGCAAAAACCGTCCAAAAACGCCGGGCTCATATGATACCCGACCATGTCCCAGGCGAGGACTCAGAGTCAACTCAAGCAAGTGGCCGAGAACGCGGGGTCGAATCGTTCCAGGGCCACTCAGCCACTCTGTTTCAGAGCCATTCTTGGTTCCTCTTGGGGCCGAGGTCACTTCCATCGCCCACATCGTTCCATCGCCTTCCATCGGGCCGATCAAACCACATCGCCCCTTTCGCCCTGCTGAGCTTCCTGACCCCAAAAGCCATTGGAGCACGACGGCACTTGCGAGTACCTGCGGGTGGAAACCCCGCACGCGGACGCAAACTGGCGAAGGAAGACGGTGCCGCAAGCGGAGGGCCTCAAAAAGGTGGTGAGTTGCAAGCATATAAAAAACATCGCTTTAGTATGCTTTAGTCTATAAAGAAATATTAATATATATATATATAATATATGTTATATACTGTTGTCAACATGCGAATGCATTTTGCTGTACACCTGTCATGAGGTGTCATGTTTTCCAGTTGAGCGACTTCCGTCGCATCTTTGTCCGAAGGGCCCTTGAACCGACCGCGTTACGACCTCGACACTTGCAGCCATAAAGGTGCGCTTTACTTTGTTGCTTGGACGCTTTGTGGACTTCGGTTGCCACCATTGCGATTGAGATTGGTAGCGGAGCGCTACACGATCCTCGGAAAGATCTTGGAGGTGGACCCTTTTGATTGAAGACTGCTTTGGCATCCTCCTACCGTTTAAAGGTAACCTGATCTCAAAGATCGTGTTCAGCGCCACTATGGCAGGAAATGGTGGTGGACAGCAACGTCGACGCCGCGAGCAAGAAGTCCCACCTGCTGAAGGAGATGGATGGACACCTGAGCCTGAAGGGACACGATCTCCATCGAGAGCCAATGGAGCCGCTTCTTCGGCAGCAGCTGGTGGATACCGCGGACTCGACAGTGGCTTGGCGAAAGCCGCTCCCATCGCCGACGACCTGACCCAGTCCAACTACAGGAGCTTTAGAAAAAGGTTGGAACTCTTTGCCCTCCAATGCCGCAGGAGATCAAAGGATGCAGAAGTCGAAGGAGCTTTGTTGGTGGTTAGCCTTCTCAAGAACTTGGCTTGGGGCGCAGCCTCAGAGCAGCTCGACATGAATGACATCGAGCGGGACACGGAACCCTTCAAGCCCGTGTTGAAGCTGTTGGACGGCCTGTACCAGTATGAAGAAGAGATTGAGGTCCCCGTACGCTGTGAAGATTTCTTTCAGCTGTTCATGAGAGGCCGGGGAGAAGAAATGCAGGCCTACTTGATTCGCCACAAGACTCAGTTGAAGAAACTCCGCGAGATTGGCATCGAGATCCCACCGCTTTTAGCTGGTTGGCACCTGCTCACACGGTCAGGTGTGCCCAAGTGGACTCACATCCAGATCAAGAGTCTTTGCAACGGCGAGCTCAAGTATGATCAAGTTCATCAAGCCTTGCTCAAAGTCTTCGGCGGCGACCACAAGCCGAATCCTCGTGACTTGTCCTCCAACACCAAGACAGTCAAGGATGATGGATTCATGGTTGAGGACGACGTCAACCCTGACGAGGAGTTCTACATGGATGATGAAGAGGATTGGTATGAGACATACTATGAAGATGAAATGGAGGAAGGCTTCGAAGATGAAATCCCTGAAAATTTGGAGGAGGCAGCTGACGTGATGGATGAAGCCTACATCTCCTATGTGGACTCGCGGAGGAGGATGAAGGAACTTGCTCTCTCAAGGGGATTCTACCCCATTGTCGCCATTGGACCTGAATATGATGGCTACGGTTCGAAAGGAAAGTCCAAAGGCAAAGGCAAGAGCAAGTCAAGACCCTCAAAGGGAAAAGGAAAAGGAAAAGGAGCTCCACGACGATTTCCGCCTCAACAACGACGACCCATGGCTGGTTTGAGAAAGCCCTATACACCATCTTCAGCGTCGACTACCACTTCAAGTTCTGACTACAAGTCAACGCTGTCAGGATCAACATCCAGTCATGGTCCTCGCTTCAAACGCTATAGAGTACAAGCCCAAGGTGCAAAAGAAGTTCCTGAAGAACAAGTCACCATGGTGGAAGATGATGTACCACTATGCCACTTCGATGAGGAGGAGATATACTTCGTGTCGCTTGGCCCTGGCATGGCTATTGTTGACTCTGGAGCCACACGCACCATCGTTGGAGAAGAAGTCTGGAAGAAATGGCTTGAGGAAGGCAACTTCGATGATGTCCTCAAGATCCAAACTCGTCCTCAGGTGCGTGACTTCAAGTTCGGAGGAGGAGAAGTTCTTCGATCGAGCTATGAGGTAAAGTTCATGGCCACGGTGAAGGGTCAGCAACTTCCAATCTGTGCCTCTGTCGTGCCGGGACCTACGCCCTTCCTGCTCGCTCGCCCTACTCTCGAGGACTGGAAGGTGAAGCAAAACTATGAAACCAATGAGCTCAAGATTGGTGAATCTCCTTGGTTCAAGCCGGTACGAGGAGCCAAAGGACACTATCTACTCAACCTCCTGGACTTTGATGGTGACACCAAGGACATGGCACTCATCACTGAGGAGATCTTCCACAACAATGACGTTTTTGCCATTGAGCCGATCCTGGAATCTGAAGCAAGAATTGCGATGACCATGTGCTCCTTGAAGTTGAACAGGATGAAGCTTTCAAGATCCTCGATCAAATCGGAGCACGAATTGATGAAAGCAAGAAGCTGATCTTCTTCGAGGTGTATGTCGATGAGGGCAACATTGCCACCTACCTGGCAAAGAACTATCCTCATGTTGAGGTATCGACCTTCGGACTTCCAGAATGGGACTTCAGCATTCCAAAAGTCAGAGAGGCTTTCAAGAAGCTTGTGAGAAGGGTGAAACCACACTATGTTTGGATGGCACCGCCATGTCGTGTATGGAGCACCATTCAACGATTGAACTGTGGCACTCCCGAAAAGATGAAGAACTTGATGTACCAGCGTGATGAATTCTCACCTTATGATGGTCAAGGAAACCAGTGACATCTGTGATGACGTCAACTCCGGCTTTGCAGTTGAACAACCACATCATGCCGCTTCTTGGGACACCAAAGCATTGAACAGCATTGACAACTGCTATGACGCCGTGTGCAACAGATGCCAAACTGGACTGTGCTACTATGACAAACAGGGCAACTATGTTGGAAAGGTGAAGAAGCCTACCAGATTGAGAACGAATGATGATGAAACCTATGAGGCCCTCAACCTTCCGTGCACATGTTCCAGCTATGACCACGTCAACATGGATGGCAAGAGTCGCAGTTTGAAACAAATGCAAAACTACGAACCTGGATTCGTGAAGTGTGCAGCCAATGCCATTATGGCCTCCATGGAACGTCGCTGGAGACAACGTGAAGTTCTTCAAATCTTCGTCTCCGAGGATGTCAATATGGATGAGAAGACCCAGAAGACCACAGAGACTTCCGGAATCACCGAGGAAGAAAAGAAGCTCATGAAGAGTCACAGCAAACAAGCTCTTTCGGTGGTGACAAAGCTGCACAAACAATTGGGACATCCTGGCAACGATAAGTTGATCAAAGCCATGAGGGATGCACAAATGGACGACTCCATCATCAAGTGCGCTCGTGACTTTCGTTGCGATGTTTGTGCCAAACACCTCATGAGCAAGTTGCCAAAGCCTGGTTCATTGCCCCAGTCTTCGCACTTCAATGAGATGCTTGAAGCTGATGTCTTCCATGTCAAATGGAACAATGAGAAGAAAAAGATCTTGGCCATCCTCGACACCTTCACCAAGTATGAGGTCAATGCAGTGGTGGAGCGAGAGACTGAAGAATGTGAGTTGAAAGTGCTTGAGGAACAATGGATCCATCCTTTTGGACCTCCGAGCAAATTTCGAACTGATGCCTCTGGAGCCCACATGAGCGAGCAGTATCTGAGGTTCTTTGACAAGTATGGCATCAAGCTCATCATTGTTCCCAAGGAGGCACACTACAGGATGGGTGCAGTCGAGCGCTTGCATGCAGTTCGCCGACTTCAGCTCTACAAGATGCAACAAGGTGAACCCAATGTGGAGCTTGCTGATGCCGTTCGCATGGCCTGCAGTCAAAGGAATCGCCTTCGGAACGTGCATGGATCATCACCCGCTCAAATGGTCTTTGGCTACAATCCAGCCAGTGGTGGACTCATCGATGAACCTGCACCAACTAGACCTGATGTGCACGAGGCCATTCAGCAAGATCATGCATTGAGGCATCTGGCATCCAAAGCTTTCTACGAAGCAAATCATGATGCACTCCTCAAGCGCTCCATTCTGTCACGACCACGGCCTGAGCTTGAACCTCTTCAGCTGGGAGATTATGCATTCTACTGGCGTTCTCCCGAGACCAAGCTTGACGCGCATCGATGGCGCGGACCTGGACTCGTGTGCGCAATTGAGCCTCGCACCACTGAGGACGGCATTCTCCGACCTCATGTCTATTGGTTGGCCCACGGAAGCAGCTTGGTTCGCTGTGCCCCTGAGCATGTTCGAGCAGAAGTGCCTGCTGAGCGACTGGCCCGTTTGGACGCTATGCCGGAAACTGCTCTCAGACAACCTGTTTGTGATCGAGTCCGCAATGCCTTGATTCCTGTGCAGGGTCCTGTCCGATTTTTAGATCTTGCCACCGGACCCACCTTTTCGAATGCAAAGGCGCCCTTGTTGTCAGCTACATCGCCTCCAACAATGGCGAATGAGCAGCTTGAGCCGAAAGAAGATGACAACATGAACGGACAACAGAACACACAAACAAGCGAAGAAACGACAAAGACAGAGCAACAAGCAGCTGCAACACAAACAGCCGCCGCTGCAGATACAGAACCACACACACACGTTGCGGCAGCTGCAGACACACAAACAGCCGCCGCTGCAGAAACACGAACCACAGCAACAGCAGAAGAGAGAAATGAAAGCAGGGCAAGATCGCGGAGTCCAATCCCCAGAGATGAACGTGCAGCCTCTTTCGAGAACTTGAGGCAGAGCGCTTTGAAGTCCTATAACGATGCACGTACTCTGGATGGCCTACCTGCAGTTGGTGAGGATGACCGCTCTTTCCAGAACCGCTTCAATGAAATGAATGCCGATGAGAGCCTGGTTGCCGAAGCCTTCAGCGAGAAGAAGCTCACGCCTGCAGAAAAGCAGCTGTTTGAGGAGGCGAGATGCAAAGCCTTGCAGGTCTGGTTTGATCATGATGCTTGGCGACCTGTCAATGAGGACGAAGCCCGTGATGGTGAAGTGATCCCAGCCAGGTTTCTACAACGATGGAAGCCTACAAAAGAAGGGCCACAAGCTAATGCTCGCGTCATCATCCAAGGCTTTAAGCACAAGGATGTTCTCAACGAAGAGCTTGAGCGGGAATCTCCAACTCTGTCCATGCTTGGCCGACACTCTGTCTATGTCATGGCAACTCACAAGCGATGGAAGCTTTGGTCAGCCGATGTGAAGTCAGCCTTCATGCAGGCGGATAGCATTGATGCAACAACGAGAATCTACATCCGACCTTCCGCTGACATGCGTCGCTTGCTCGAGAAAAAGATTGACCTCAAGCCATGGCAGATCATGAAAGCCTGCAAACCAGCTTTTGGAGATGTTCGTGCACCACGGCAATGGAACAACACAGCAAACGAGTACTTGTTGCATGAGTTGAACTTGATTGCACACCCACTCGACCGCTGTGTGTATCTTTCTTTGCGACAAGCTGTCGATGGTGATGACCCCTTCTGTGTCTTCGAATACAACGGAACGCATTGCATTGTCGATGGCATTTTAGGCCTTCACGTGGACGACTTCATCGGTGCTGGAGAAGGTGTCACGACTTTGAATGACATCACAGGTGAGTTCGAATATGATGAGAACACCTTTGTTGGCCGCCTTCAAAAACTTTCCCGGCGATTCAAGTTTGGCAGTTGGGATTTTGGCTCGAGTTTGGGGGTGAAGTTCTGTGGAGCCGATGTGGTCCAGAGTTTGAACCACGAAACCATCCAGATTTCCCTCGAGCAATACTGTCAGAAGGTGAAGCCGATTTGCTTGGAGAAGTCACGGAAAACAATGGTCAACGATGTTTGCACTGACAGAGAGCACAAACAACTTCGTGCACTGCTAGGAGCACTTGCCTGGCCAGCTCATCAATGTGTACCACAACTGTGTGCCAGTGTCAGCATCTTGCAGTCAGCATCCAGCAGCCCCATGATCAAGGACATCAATGAGGCCAACAAGCTGTTGAGATTTGCAAAGAATGTGACCAAGGACTACAAGATGACCTTCCACGCCCACGGCGACATCTCTTCGTTGTGCATTGGTGCATACACAGATGCTGCATGGGCAGTTCGCCCTGACGGAACGTCACAGGGAGGTCTGCTGGTCTTCCTGTGCAATCATGAAGAGTTGAGCTCAGAGAAACCAATGCCGCTGACAATACTCCAGTGGCAGTCCAAGAAGTTGCAGCGCATTTGCAGGTCTTCCTTGTCTGCTGAAGCCCAGGCCGCCGCAGCAGCTGTTGACGAGCTTGAATGGAGTAAGATCTTCATGGCTTGCGTTGTGGACCCCACCTTGGACATTGGTTCAACTGAGGCCCTCAGGAAGTTTGGCACGTCTCCACTTGCCACTGATGCTCGATCCTTGTTTGACGCTGCTCGAAGCATCACCCCGGGCATGAAGTTGAGTGAACGCCGCACTGCAATCGAAGTTGCGATAGTGAAGGATCGAATGTCAGCTCTTGATGGACGATGGTTTTGGGTGAACTCACAGCAACAAATAGCAGATGGTTTGACAAAGCCGGCAGCAAAAGACAACCTGGCCTATGTCTTGAACCGAGGAACTCACAAGCTGAGCTTTGAGCCGGACTTCATCGCCGCCAAGAAGGTCACCTATGAGGAGAAAGAAGCTGAAAGAAAAGAACATGAAGAGGCATCGAAAAACATCTTCGAAAACCAGATCTTCACGCTTGAAGAGAAAGATGGCAACCTTTGCGCCCTTCCTGGTTGTGAGAAAACATGTGATGCCTCCAATCCAAAGAACAAGTTCTGCTCCAGGCGCCACTTCTACCTCCATGCCCATCGGCAAGGTCAAAGGCATGATGCTTGGAGAACGGCAGCCATGTCGGCTGTGACTTGTTTGATTGCGAATGAAATGCCAGTTGTTGAAGGAAGCCCCACCGAGAACGATGAGCACATCCCTGAGTCCTACCTGGGCACTCGCTTTTGGCTCACTGTTGGTGTTTTGGTTTTCTTTGCATGCATTGGCCTGGAGCACATGACCTACAAGATCTACAATCTCTTCCTCGAGAAGGCAATGATTCTGTGGAAGAAGAATGAAGTGAATGAAAAAGAAGAAACGGTCGAGACCAATGACCGAACTTGCACCTTGCCTCAACACCGTGAAGAGGTGATGGAGCAAATCCTGGCCCTCTCCAGACGACCAGGTATCGACTACAGACCGGGCATCGACACCGGCAGTTCGACTTGCAACTCTGACAGCGAGCTTGAAGATGAGGAGTACAACCGATGGAAAAGGCTTCTCAAAGAAGTTGAAGATGAACCCAGCTCCAGCGATTGGAGGAAATTGTTGAGAGATTTGAATGATGCGAACAGCGCCTTGGATGATCAAACACGCCTCATCCTGACCACTGAGGGCTACACGACCCAGCGCTGGCGGAAATTCCGAGAGCTTTTGAAAACAGATCGAACTCAAGGCTTCTCGGATGACCAGGTGCGTCAATGGCACCGGATGTGGAATGACAACATCTGCTTCCTTGCGGATTGCAATCAGCGCATTGTGAGGCAGAGGGCTCGCATTGAATCCCTGGAGAGGATCAACCGCCTTCAGTTCCTGAATGAGAAAGGTGAGATCAAGGACAAGATGGTCCAAGCGAAGCTGAGTTTTGACCAGGACACCACTCTGCCAACCAGGACAGCAAATGTCCTGCCAGACCATGCCTGCGGAGCATGGGATTTTCGAAGTGACCTGAATCGGTCATGAGAGGGGCCCAACTTTTGAATGTTTTTCGAAGGCCATGAAAAATAAACTTTTTGGCCTGTGTCAACATGCGAATGCATTTTGCTGTACACCTGTCATGAGGTGTCATGTTTTCCAGTTGAGCGACTTCCGTCGCATCTTTGTCCGAAGGGCCCTTGAACCGACCGCGTTACGACCTCGACACTTGCAGCCATAAAGGTGCGCTTTACTTTGTTGCTTGGACGCTTTGTGGACTTCGGTTGCCACCATTGCGATTGAGAACTGTACTATTATGCTTTAGTTATGTCTATAGTCTATGGGGTCTATCTTCTTCCGCACGCCCTCTTTATCCGCAGCGCAGCTATTAGCTTCGGCGCACGGGCAGTACTGCCAAAACCCCTTGCCGGCATACCAATTGTGGTAATAGACCTGAGACGGGGCGATGGTCCTTCATCCTTCACTCGTGAAGGGGAAGCGATGAGGGGGCGGATTCATCTCGAAGTGAAGGGATGGGCTATCTTTCTCACCCCATCGCCGGCCCAAACCAGGCGTCCGGCATAGGTGAGCATGGAGTTCTGGTACCTGACCCTGTCCGAGCTGCTCCCTGAAGCATCCCAGTCCTGAACACCGCACCGGCTTTCGGCACGGCTTGGCGTTTTCGAACTGTTGTACTGTGGCACTGGAAGTAGGGCACAGTCTCGGGGGCATTAGCCTGAACTTTGACACACCCGCGAGTTGAGAAGGTGACAGTTTCAGGCACATGAAGCGGCATCATTCCAGACAGAACTTCAACAACAACTTTTGAACCCGGTGGTCTGTGTCGGTCAGACAGGGCACACTGTCATGCTTCTCGGTCACCTCTGAAGGTTGGAATTCTTTGAGTTCTTGTAACTGCTTGTAAGTCATGCTTTCCTTAGATGAGTTTGCTCTCTTTGTCCTATTTTCACTATGTTGTATGGGGCTTTGCTACATACTGCAACGGTTTCCATCCTCCATCACACCTGCAATTTAGACATCAACCCTCTGCTCATTCTTCTGGAAGGTCCAGGCCTTCCTTCCTTCCCGATTCCAGGCCACCCCCCCGCAAAACCCAACGCTTCGGCCTTGAAGGACTCCATGACCTGATCCGCGCCATACCTCGGCGAGCGCGATCGCTGCTCGCCGCTCGGCGGCTCGGCTGGTGCTTGGCCCGAAACCGGATCCCGCGACGTCCGCCACGCGGCGTCCGCCACGCGGCGTCCGCCACGCGCAGCACCGGGAACAAAAGACATGCACCAAGGGGAACACGCGACGCTTCGTCCCGTGTTGGAACGTTCGGCAACTCAGGGGCCACACTCCGCCGAGAACGGAGCTTGGGTGAAGTCATCGACCTGAAGGAGTGGCAGGATGAGCAGCATCGCCTGGCGCAATCGCAGTCGGTCTGGACGCTTGGTTATCATTGGGCAGGTCTGAAAGTCAGGGTGAAGGTGAAATCAAAGCTGAAGGTAAGATTCCTGAGGATCTACCCCTGATCCTGGTTGATGGTCAACATCCATTCTACCATGCTGAACCCCCCGAAGTGTCCAGTGAGATCGGACCTCGTCTCGCCTACCTCCTCCCCCCCACCACTGGCCATGCCACAAAGGCCAAGTGATGCCGGAGAGACCAGGATGAGAATAATCACTCTTCGAGTGGTCATCTCTGACCTCACCAAGACAGACTGAGTTGTTAAAAAGAAACAAAAGTTGGAGGAGCCCGGGAAAACCGGAGAAAAAGAAAACCAGCTACGCTGGTGGCCGCTTCAGCGGTGCAATTTCCGCATGCGGAGCTGCGGAAGAACTGAGTGCAAAAGGTCGCAGCGCAAACATCAGACCTGCAAACAAACAAATGACGATGGAGAGCTTGGCTCTATTGGGCCTGTGGAAGTCAGCGCAGTACATCCACTAGGCCCCCAACAGCTTCTTGCCAAGGGTGGATTCTTGCCCAGCTTCCTTCTCCTTGGCGAACTGCCCGTGGTTTGTCTCTCTTCGAAAAGAGGGGCAAATACGGAAAAGCTAGCCAGAAACTCCCTGTAGCCTCCGGGCTCCCTGACTGAGAAGGAAATATCGATGACCCCTTGGCTCTCTCAAATTCCGTATGTAAGCATGTATGTCCCGTATGTAAGCAAGTATGTATGTATGTACATATGTGTGTGTGTGTGTGATATATATATATATATACATACAGTTGAACATGTTTTTGTTTGTAATATATAAACACATATTTCTTTCGGAGCTATTCGGGATCAAGTATTTTCTTCTTGTGGCTCGTTCAAGTTGGTACCGCATGGGTGTAATTGCGGCAAAAAGGTACAGGGAATCCACCCACAGATCTGTGCCACGGGTCAAGAGTCAAAACCCTCAATGGCATCGATGTTCCTTTCAAATTCTTTCGGCAACCAGCTGTTGTCGTTTACTTACTGAGACTCAAGAGGAAAATGTCTGCACAAATATGTGTGTGTGTGTGCATGTATGTATATTATATATACATGTATATATCATTGCTAGTCTGGTATGTACTAGGTAGGCTAAGTGGTTAGCCTGTTGTCCTCTTGTTCAGTAAAGCCTGTGACTCGCAGTTACAGCAGCAGGGAAAATAGACTCGACCAGATTCATTTGTTCAGGTGGCTATTCCACTTCCATCTTAGATATGTGAGTGACTCGCAGTGCAGTTCTTCGCTTCTGCCGGTCCCTGGCTGCTCAGCCATTGGTGACGACAAGGCCCCGGGCTTCGTTTTCTTCCGCGTCTCAGTGGCGCTGAGGCGCTACTTCAGGGCCGTGGCAGGGTTGGGTTTGGGACACCATAGGAAGAGAACAGCTCGCCCATCGTGGCAGGGTTCGGCAGATTTTTGGACTTCCTCTGTCACCGGGGGGGCTGTGCACCTCCATCTGTGCCCCAATGTCTTGAGGCTGCCACCTGCTAGCGCTTCATCATCATGTTCATCCCACTCATCATCATCCGGCCGCGAGGCTCTCATGGCCTCGGAGTGAGGCCGGCTCTCGAAGGCTGGGCCGTTTCTCGTTGCGCAACGAGGTTTGGCAAAGGATCGTGTCTCATCCGAACTGCAGGGAAACCACAATGATCATGCCTGAGTCCCCCATGGGATGTCTCCTGATTTCATGGTTTGGGGCCCAAAGTTTGGGGTAGGAGTAGGACTTGGTCAGTTGCCTGTGCTCCTCTTCCCCATCGACCCTTTCGCTGGCACAAGGGCGATTTCGCTGCGTTTGGTCCGGCGATGCCCAAGTCCGGCACCGCTTCTCGTCTGCGCCGCGCCCTTTCTCGGTCTGCCTGAGGGGGGAACAAGCCTGCCTTGAAGCTGTACATATAGATATGTTGTAGGGCCCACTCCCATGCTAGGCCAACATCTCTTAGTAGACTATTTTGTTCATGTGGGTGGATTCAGTGGCGATTGGGTTCTGACCCACCTCCATTTCACATGTCACATGCAGAATGCCCTGATGCGGCATCCCAACTCCTCCAACCTCCTTCATCATCGTGTCTAAAAAAAATACACATCAAATACCTGCATCTAAACCCATCTCTAGACTTGGTGATTCCAGGACCACTGAAGTCGATGACCCAACCACCTCCACAGTGACCGGCCGCCAAGTGTTTGCCCCGGTCCTTCCGAGTTGTCCTCGTCCCACCGGCCGCCTCATGCCAGGCTTTGTAGAGCTTGAGGATTCTCACCTCACGGCGTGGGGAGACCAATCAGCGAGCCGATCCCTCAACCCGATCCGTCGCTCCCCCCGGTCCCATCGCTTCCTCCGCTCCGTGGGGGAAATGTCCGATGCAGCGACGTGGACGCCCCACGTCCTCCGCTCCACGTGGACTCCTCCGGCATCGCTCACTCTCCGCGACCGGCCGCGAGGGCACCTCGACCCGAACCGTCGCCGGACGCGGCGCCGGAGACCCGGGGCGCCCGGGCCAGTCTCAGGACCCGGATCATGCGCGCGGCCTTGGCGCCGATCCGCGCGGTCCTGCAGAGCGCAGCCCGGGCCAGGCGCCGGAGACCGGAGGAAACAGGAAGGCTTGGTCTAGGAAAGGGATCACTGATGCTGTAAATTCCGGGACCCTCTTCAGGTTCTCCTACGCTTGTGAAAATGCAAATCCATTCTGGAGTACGTGTTGTCATGTCTCGTTCGGTGTGGAAAGCACAACCTGCAAGCTATTTGAGATTCAGCGTAACGATATCAATTACAGTACATCATCTGGTGAAAACATTGACTCCAGCCTTTGCCTTTGGGATATCCTCGAAAAGACCCCCTGCAGAGACGAAAAGACCCCCGGCATCAGGCTGGGCCGTGGCCTGCCACTGCGTAGAGAGCTGCTATCACCATTCCCAGCCAAGAGGTCATTGATCTCAGAGTGAATGGCTGCCGATCCGAAGCCATGGGGAGATGATGTCTTGGGGTCAAGGTGGCAGACATTCAGAGACTCGCTTGGAATTTGGAAGGGCGGGATGTTGCAGAAGACCACTGTTTGGCGTGACCCTGCTACACATGCTTCCATCAAGCAATGGAAGTGGCTCAATTATATCATTGCACAAATTGATTCAGGAGCACTTCATGGTGCGCAACTTCCCCAATAAAGAAACCGCACACAAAGGTCGAAGGGACACCGGACATGTTAAACTGCTCGGGCACCGAGCCCAGGTCAGATCAAGCACCAGGGTCACGGTGGAGACCACGTCCAAGATGAAGAAAAATCCCAGCCAATAGTCCGACTGACGGGAAAATGTCGGAGGCTGTGGTGTTGGATCTATCCGATACATTAGTGTCCGCTCCGGCTTTGAAGGATTCACGTTTCTCTCTGTTGTCCTCTTGGAGTCACATTCTATATGTCAATTGAACTGAAAATTTGTATGCATATATGCCTATATACTTCCGGTCTGCTTTGAGACGCTGCTGCTGTTGAGGCTGCAGCTGCTGCCCTCTCTCTTGCTCTCTTGCTCTCTCTTGCGCTCTCTCTCTCTCTCTCTCCTTGCTCTAAACTCTAAGCTTGCGTCGGGGATCCCAACATTCCCCTTGATGGACAAAGAACATTAGAAACGTCTCGAGCAGCGTCAGCCTTGCCCATCACAGAGATGATGATCTCAAAGCTAAAAATGGCAATGCAAATCAACACCTCAGCAGGTCCGTTGGAAGAAAACCCATCAACTCAGAAGCTTTGTCGGTGCCACCTCATCCACGGAAGAACGTCCTTTTCTCAATCCACTGGCTCGAGCAGGCAGAAAGTAGGGACGCATGAACGCATGGGACTCGCTGTGAGTAACACCCCAGGACTCGCTGTGAGTTGATCACCGGCCTCAGGCTCACCGGCCTCCCAACTTCGTCTCGCTAAAAGGCTTTGGCTCCCAGCCATGGCATTGAAATACTCGTCCGCGGGCTTCTGCGTGAAGATGATGCGAAAGTCATCCCCCGTGAGCGCGTAAATGGTCAGAAGCGTTGTGAGACCTCAGCCATTTGGTCAGCTTCACCATCGTCCCGATGCGTGGAGCCGGTGAGGGGGGGGAAGAAAACCTCTGGACCAGAGCCTCTGGGCTTCAAGGGAGAGCCTAGCATCCGGACCAAAACTACACCTTGCAGCTCCCATAAGTAGCAAGCCTCGAATCCAAGGAGCTCTGCCTTTCCACCTTCCCGAGTTCTTCGCGCAGCTCACCAGCTCAGGCCCCCAAACTGATAAACGTGGAGTTTTCCACCAGCGAGCTCGCGCACCTCACGTAGCACGGAGGCGGCGCCTTCGCCTGGCGGGCGCAGGAGCATCCCTGAGGGTGTTGAAAACAAGCTCCGTCACCAACGACTTGAAAATATCAGCGACTTGACAATCAGCCTCCACCTATACGGAGAGGTTGTCCTTTTTGATTGGGAGGGTTATGAATCTGGAGTCTACATCAACACCAAGGAAAGCAAGGAAAGCAACACCAAAAGTTAGTGAGCTTTCGGAAAGCAACACTCACATGACATGGTGAGAATTCCCAAACGCGAACCGTCCCGTGACTCCACATTACCCCAGGTGTCCTTTTCTCATGTCGCCCCTTTGAGTTCGGCATCTGTCACGACAACATGACTGTCTGAGTGTCATGACTTATAGTCTTTGAGGCAGCAGATGAAGATAGGAACTTGACAACTGTCACCTGCTTCAGGGGATGCAGCCAATCGTGAACCCCAGAAGATGCAATCAAATGGCTCATATACCAATACGCCAACATCCCGCCCCTTCAAAGCCAGAGTTGGAATCCAGTGCGCCAGGCCCAAAACCGAAACTGGCCAAACCCTCTTCGCCAGCAGGGCCTCCACTTTGGAAGGCTTACTGCTCCGTCGACTCGCTCGGTTTGGATCCAGCGCCGAGGCGGTCGACGGCCGCGGCCGCACCGTGCTGTTGTGTGGCACCTGCGCGTCTGCATGAAAATCAAGGAAGTAGATGGCATGGTCAATGGAAGACGACGCTAAATACGGGCGGTTGGGGAAGCGCTTGGACCGCAACGTGATTTAAGGAATGTCCACCTCTGGACAATGGAATGGTCTAAGCAATGATGTCCTTCTGGGAGTCACAGAAAGGCCAGGTACCATACACCCTTTGGCTGTACATGACCGAGGGTGTCAAATCCGCCAATGATATAAGGCCATCTATCATCTATGGGTCTAAGTAACATGGCCCGTGGCCCTCCTCAGTTGACCCGCTCGGGCGGGTTGGGTCGTGATGGGAGGACCTCAGGACCGGCTCGCCACGCATTGTTCAGACCATCGGCGGTTGGATGGGACATGCAGGGAGGGACATGCAGGCCTGTGCCCCACGATGGATATATAGACCGAAAAACCGATAGAGAAAGCCGATCGCCACTAAGAATGTATTGGAAACCGCGCCGCGATCTATTTGGGGATCACTATACAGGTGTTCGTCTAGCCATAGTGCTTCTCTCGTTTTCTCCATCTTTGGGACAGCTCTGTGACGTTTCCGCTCTATGGGGTCGGTGTTGAACCGGATCGCCGGATTGATCCAACTTATATAGTTGGTGGTTTCCACTCAGCTCCCCGGCATCGATCACAAGATCCAGGTTGAGCATCTAACAATGATCTGAATTTCACCCAGCTCAGAACCGCGTTCGGTCGCCAGCTCAGAACCCCTCCCCGCGTGGGGGTCGCGCGTGGTCGCCTCGAACGAGGCCATCGAGGAGATCGAGCTCTGCGCGCCAGTGGACGCTTGGGACTGCCTCCTGCGGGCGAAGACTTCGAGGCTTCGATTCCACTGGGAAGGAGCCGAAGGCTCCTTGACTCCGCTGAGGGTCAGGGAGGGTCAGAGCCGACGAGATGTCGGAGTTGAGCGAGTCTAGAGATGTTGTTCCTTCTTGGCTTGGTTGATTCTTTGTGCTCCGTCCCCTAGGTGTTCCATCATGGTGTTGGTGTTCCATGGATGCTCACGGGGGTTCAAAGGCACCTTCAGCCAAATGGGAGTAATTATCACCAAATCAAGAAAAATATCAGAAAAGACTCGCTTCGTGCTCTTGCACCCGGAGCCAGGACATGCCACTACACCAAGACGATCTAAACATTGGAGTCGATCTACCAAGTCGCTCTACCAAGTCGGTGCCCCCCCACCATCCTTCCCCGTTCGGGCCGGGCCGGGCCCCCCCACCATCTGCTGGAGTTTCCGCTGTTCCGCCTGCAGGGTCCGGTGCAGACGCGGAGCACTGCGCGGGGAGCGTCCGAGCACTGAAACACATGCCATCTACCCCACATGGCCCATGGCACTGGTCGGGATGGAGTAGCTGGCTCCACCACGTGGAGATAGGAATGCAACTTCTTCTGAACGTAGTGTAGAATAAAAGAGGGCAAAGCTCAAAGTTTCTACAGTCGAGGCTCTCTTCCTGGTATGGTGTCATCAAGCATCAACGCGCGACTTCATGTCATGGCAAGAACTTCTGCTGAGATTTTCTCACCAGTGCTTTGCGATAGGTCTTCCCACCACCCGCAGCGAATTCCACTCAGCTCTCCACGTATTGGGTGGAGTCTCCATTCTCCGACCCTTGCGCGGGGCCGGGCCCATCGGAAAAGATCGGAGAAAACACCACAGCCTTTCCGGTGTACCGTTGCCATACTGGAGATACAAAACATCGAGGTTGCATAGATCTAATAGATCTATCATGAATCATGATGCACATTTAAACAATCATAATGATCTATATATATATATATATGTGTGTGTGTGTGTGTGTTCCGCCCTGTGAGCTGGCGTACAAGAACCAGCACCCAGTAGCACAAGCATCAGCACAGTCCCTGAATGCAACTGACTGATTCCATCGGCGATCCAGGTGTTGGGGACCGACCCAGAAGAGACGGGCGGCGCCTTCAAACGTTTCTCCACATGCACGCCCTAACCCAATAGGCCCCGCGTCAATCGTCAACTGGCCCGGGAAAAGCAGCCCAAATGAGGGCCACTGAGTTTTCCTGAGGTAGCTGGCAACTTCAGCTCCAATGCTTTCTGTTGAGTCATGGTTACCTTCAGCCGGGCTCGGCGTGAACGAACTTCGCTGCGGTTCAGCTGGTGTTTTCTGGGCTCCAGAAGTGTGGCTGATGTGAAGCCGGTAGACGTTCGTGCTTGCGGCGTTGCTTGCGGCGTTGATCGCCCTGTGAGACCTCTGCATGTCTGTGCCCGGGACCGAGTGCAGAATCTGAGCCAAACGGGCGCGGCGAGCGCCACAGTCCGAAAGAAAGAAACACACAGGGCCGGCCCTGACTCGATCGACAGGTGTCCGAATCGATCATGTGAGACTCCTGCACTACCACGCACCCCCGAGGCAATCATTGCAATTCTCTCCTTGCGCCCTGCGCCCGGTCCGTGGCCTTTTTTTATCAAGGTCGGTCGGTTTCCTGAGCTTTGTGTGGCCTCGTGCAGTTCGCGCGCCACAGTGGAACATGAAACCCCGGCAGCTCTGCGGAAGTGGAGCGCCCCCGGCTCCTCAGGGTGGAGGCCCTAAGAACTGGAGCGTCTTGAAGGCCTAGGCCTTGGAATCAGGCGAGCATTCAAGCATCAAGATGAGAAAGGAGAACTGGTGCATCGATGGTGTTTGGGGGGGCAGCCCTTCGAACTCTGGCTGCACTGCCACATGTGCCCAGCAAAGGTTTTTGCCCTGGCACGTGGTCCTGAAGAGGAAGCTCCACGCACGGGAGAGAACGTTCATCCTCATGTAGTTGCTATGCAGGGATGGCTACACAATTACACGTAGATGGTGCAGTTTCTTTTCACTCAAAACGTTTGTGTCGCAAAATGTTTTGTCTTTCGATGTCCACCCTTGCCACCTTCAAACGACGTCTCTCGGGCCGTCAGTAAGTGGACATGCCTCGCCAATGCTTCATCCTCTTCAATTGCCGCCAGGAATTGGGCTGCAGGAAAAATCGTATATCGCACCTACAACAACCACTATGTCTTCGCTCATGACCTTTTCCACGGGTCCCTTCCAAGTAATCAAGTAATCCAACCACTCCCCCACACGATTTGGAGGGATCGCTTCCCTGCAACCCGAAATCCTAGCTCAGCACGCATTCATTTTAAAACAGTCAACCACAAGTCAGGAAGAGGGCCCATCCTGTGCTGGCAATTGCGACCGAATTCCATCCAGCAAAGAAGTCACCTGCACTTGGTGGCTGCCAACACTAAGTCACAAAGACTGAGCCCAACTGGATGGTGTTTTCTTTAAATTTTTCCCCCTAAAAAATGATTAATTAAGTCAACTGGGGTCCAGGTAATCATTCCCAAATTGGATTGAAAAGTAAGTCCATGAAAGCGCGTCGGACCGCTCTTAGGCTCTCAACCGCTGTGGCCGCTCCAGCGGTTGCCACCTGCCCACTCCGGCCGCTCAGTGTTTGCGACTCTTGGGCCTGGTCCTCAGATACGGTCAGAGTGAAAATCAGACCCCGGGAGCTCCTGGTCGCACCTGGGCCGATCTGGTGCAAGTTCCAAGATGTCAAACCCCCCCGAAGACCCAGAAACAACATCTCCATCCACCTACCAACCTCCAACCTCCATGGTCAAAAAATGGACCGCACCGTCTTCTGCCTCTTCTTGGCTCAGCTCCAACCGCAACCCGGAACACCTCTCTGCGGCCCAAGCCGCGTGTGGTCCAGCAGCTCGGCGCCTCTTCGGCCCTGGGCCGTGCAGGTCGGCAGACGCAGCGTGCAAACGCAGCGGCCTCTGTAGGTTCACCCTTCTGTGTTTCTACATTGGGCGCACGAGCCCCACGAGCCTTACGAGCCCTGAGCTTCTTTCTGGGCCACCAGTTGAGCTCAGGCAGAGTGGCAGGGTGGCAGAGCAGTTCCAACTTCGTAGAGTCTCCCACCGCCTGGTTTTGGTATCTTTTGATGACCCACGTCGTTGCATCAATCAAGCCGCACAGATCAATCTGGTTTCTTGGCCATCTCGGTCACCCCACATCAGTGATCACCACCACGCTGTCCGGCGTCTCCGCCAAGACGAGCTGCGAAACAGGGCGCGACCATCGCACACCCGAAAACAACATTGGACAGGGAAGTCTTGATGGGCGTGATCGTCCGTGATGTTTGTCTGAGAGCTATTATAGAGGGGGTTCCCAGCGACAAACGGCTAAGATTCACATTCCCAAAGAAGCAATGGAAGGAACTCGATTCTGCCAAATACGAAGTATGTACATCCACTGAACCAACCAGGACAACAAAACCTTTGATTAAAATAGTAATAATAATAACTTAGTATCCTTAATGTTTTTCTCTTGGGCGAAACTGCCAGGTTGACATGATTGATATGTTTTAGGTTGTTTAAGATACTGTTTATAGCACTAATTACGTTCGGCACGGGAACCCTTCCCCCATGGCACCATGGCATGAAAAACCCACCTCGCTGCGGGGTTCGGTCACGTCCATCTGGCCTTGGCGGTGGTCCGGCCCCTTCGGGTTGAGAGGAAAGTCCCCTTTCGGTTCCCTCCTTTAGACGCGATGGAAAGAGGCAGATTTCAAGCACCTCCTTAAAGCCTTAGCTCCCCCGTGCCCACCAGCACGCAGTCATCCTCCCACATCATGCTGCTCGCAAGTGGTCCGAAATCAGCACTTTGGCAACAGCGCGCCCGGGGCCGCAACAGTCTGCCAACGACATGGTGCATTGTCCTGGAAGCCATCGCGCACGGCACGCGGTTCATCCGGATCGTTGCCGTTGATTTTATGCCATTTCCTTTGCACGTTGTTTCCAACAAATCCCCCCGTCGACACCGCTGGTCCAAGGCCTTCTGTTTTCGAAGGTGGCGCCCTGGTCGAGAAAGGGTTGAATTCTGTTGTTTGCGACTGCACCAAATATCGCCCCGCTGGGACTGTAGTTTTGGCGAGGAAGATATCCAAAGGCGGTCAAATTCATGTTGCCAACCATGTGCACAAGCAATGGTTGCAAAAAGTTTGCACGAATGAAGTTGCATGGCCATTCGCCGCGCCAATGTTTTGGGAAATTTTACCACAACCCCCTGTGACAATGACAGTCAAGAAATGTTGTGAACTTGGCTAGCGGCGTTATTTTTTTTGTTTGGGTTTGCTGGAAACCTGCCCTTCTCAATTCCGCCATTTTCAGTCATGCCCACTCTCAGCGCCACACGTGTAAGGGTTAATGCGTTCTTGTTCCAAAGTCTTGAAGCTCTCAACCTGCAGACGCTTGCATTGAACCACCGGGTTTCCTCTCGCCCACTGAATCAGGCGATTGCATGCACAAACTACCGCTGCAAATGCTTCGCTGCCACACCCATCTCAGCCGTCAGTGAGGTTCCCACCGGCATCACTTGCCACCTCAGGGAATAAAAATGAGTAAAAATACAACCAAATAATTCGGCGGATGAATTGGAAACAATGTTCCGAGACAATGTCTTGGCGTGTTTTTTCCGCCACCCACTCCCGACATCACAGCCTCTTACCAGTCTTACCAGGGTCTTACCATTGATTTTGTCCCACTCTCAGTGCCCCGCTGGTCCACCCGCTCGCCAAAAAACATTTCTTCAGCCTTGCATTCCTCGGTGGAGCGAACTGTAAAAGTTTGGCGCTCAAATCTGGTTGTAAGATCACAAGGGACATGCGTTTTCAGATTTGAAATCAATGGTTCCGAAATATAGCTGCCAAAGTGTCTTTGGTGCCATCGCAGCATTGAGCAGCGGCAACGTTTGCCCCCATGATTTCGGAGCTTGGTTCCACCACCGGTTAAACAAACATAAACAAAAACAAAGTTTGCGCGACATGACTCGCAGAAAGTACTGCTGGCACTTTTGTTTGCATGACTCCATGTCCACATGCTTTCCTGCCATGACTGTGGAATGACTGTCAAAACAAACCACTGTGCCAAACGAGCCTTGAGCATGCAAGCAAAATCACGCAAACACGCCAAAACGCTGTGAAAACAAACACATGTTCTCCGGTAAGGCATGTACTACACGTACATGTTTTGATTCACCCCAAAACTTTCAACATGCAGCCAGCCAACCAACCAACCAACCAACCAATCAACCAATCAATCAACCAATCAACCAAACAATCAAACAATCAAGCAATCAAACAATCAATAAACTTCAATCAATCAATCAATCAATCAACCAATCAACCAATCAATCAATCAATCAATCAATCAATCAAACCACCAAACAACCAACCAACCCATCAACCCATCAACCCATCAACCCACCAACCCACCAACCACCCAACGACCCAACCCACCAACCCACCAGCCCACCAACCCCCAACCCACCAACCAAGCAAACAAGCAACCAACCAACCAAGCAACCAACGAACCAAACAATCAAACAATCAAGCAATCAAGCAATCAAGCAACCAAGCAACCAACCAATCAACCAACCAATCAACCAATCAAGCAACCAATCAATTAACCAACCAACTAATCAATCAATCAATCAACCAACCAACCAAACAAGCAAGCAAGCAAGCAACCAACCAATCAACCAATCAACCGATCAACCGATCAACCCACCAACCCACCAACCCACCAACCCACCAACCCACCAACCCACCAACCCACCAACC